TTTGTGTTTTTTTATTTGTAGAAAATAAAAAAATTTAATTTTGTGTTCTTCATGGATTTCCATTAAATTCACATGTTTATTCATTTCGTACATGCCTTCTTGAGTACGAAAAGGATGAGTTCCTGATAGTACAAAAAGATTTTTTCTAAGTATGGATCGTATTGTACAATCACAGTTCGTGCATGCCTTTCAGAGTACAAAATTGTGAGGTCCCTCTTCGTCCCAATGAAGATGAAAAATTTTTGTAACTGATCGTACTGTACAATGTCGTCGTCGTATGTACGCCGTTTAGAGTATAAAATTGGGGGTCCCTCTTCATCCCGACGAAGATGAAAATTTTTCTAAACTGTTTCTCCCATATGAACTTGATTCGTACCGGATGATGATCGTGTACGAAATGTTTTCATACCGATTCACAATAGATTCATACACAACTATTTTTTAACAGTATGTACATATGAAGATACGATCGTACTGTATGATCGTGTATATTGAAAATTGAAAATTTCAGTATTCTCGACGATTTTTCGTGTCTTTTGTATAAAATGTCCACTAAAAACTGATGTAAATCATCTTGTCTTTGCAAATTTTTAAGGGCAATTAAAAGAGAGAGTGTTTAAGAGAGATTTTTTGCAAGTGGAGTGTGAAGGGTTCACAAGGTTACTCAAAGGTAAGGATCTCTTTGTGATTTTGGTTGCACTCTTCTTCTTGTCTTTCTAATTGCCCGTGAGAAGATCTTTGGAGAAAATCTGGTATTCTGCCAACACTTGGAGGGTGTGAAAGGATGACGGTTCTCTGCCGACACTTGGAGTGTGTGAACAGATGACTGTTCTCTGCCGACACTTGAAGAGTATGAAAGGACTACAGTTCTCTACCGCACCGGGGATTAGTGGAAGAGGGGTTTTGTAAAGGCTTCTCTGCCTTGCTGTGGGGGAAAAAGGAGAGACACTGGTAATAGTACAATATTTGAAGAGGGAGTCTTCAGGAAGTGGATGTAGGTCGTGTTTGATCGAACCACTATAAATCTTTGTGTATTTTAAATTTTCGCATTTATTTACTGCAAGTTATTTTTTCTGTGATTGAAAATTTATTTTGAAATTTTAATTAACTTTCTATGAGACTTAACGGTTTTCAAATTTAAAATCAAAGAGTAATTTTTTTTTTAAATTACCAATTCACCCCCCCTCCCCTCTTGGTTAGCCTTGGGACAATAGCTTGGGTCTAACAACCTATTCAAAAATCAACAAACACATCTACACGATCATTGGCTAAATAACTATCGCTTAATAATTCATCAATGTGAGATATAGAAATAAGAATGTTCTAATATTGATAGCCTATAACGTCCTTGCAAAAAAAAACATAAAATACGCAAAAAATAAGCACAGAATGCGCATAACATACGCACATCATATGCAGGAGAATATGCACAACATACGTACAATATATGCAGACCATACGAATACAATATACATATGATATGCATAACATACGCAAATAATATGTATACCATACACATAACATACATATAACATTCAAAAAAACTAAAAAAAAAAATTATTAGTTCATAATAGTTGCAGTTTTTATCTTTTACTGAACTTCTTCAAGCAATGATATATAAAATTTATCTTCTCAGAACTCAGATACTCAATGCCCTGTAATACGATATTATTTCATTTGCAGGCTCATGAGTTATTACAACGTCATCGATTGGGATTGGTTCAGTCTGGAATAGAATTAGTTTCATTAGGGCTGGGATTGGCTCATCAATTTTTTGGGATTGAATTGGCTCATTAATTTTTTGGGATTGGATTGGCTCATTTTGGATTAAGATTGGTTCACTTTTTTGGGTTTCGATTTGCTCATTTTGGGAAGAGATAGGTATATTTTCGGGTTGGCTTAGTTTTTGTTTCTTCACTTTAATCTCTCTTGAATTTTACATTATCCTTTACTGGCTCATTTTTTTATTCCTGGTTCATGGATCCTATCAGGTTCGTTTAAGGTTTGGTTATTTTTCTTAGGCATGGATCCTATCATGGAGATCTAATTTCTTTGGGGAATGTGAATGTTTCTATTTCTTATTGAAAGATAAGGAGTAGCTAACAGATCATTTCTCAGGAAATAATTTACAATGAGCAAGATAATTATTGAGCTTGACATCAATATCTTCTACTCTTTCAGCAAGTTGTTCTAACTTTCTACTCAGCCTACCTTCACATTCATGAAAAAATTATGTGTAGGTTTCTAGGCAAGCGTTGACTATTTTTTCATGGAAAAAATCTAGTACTTTAATAGAAAAAATAAAGTGTGGTTGCTTAGGAGATTGTTGTGGATATTGTTGAGGTAGGGAATGATGTGGAGATTAGTGGGGGTCTTGTTGAGGAGGTGTGTATGCTGAGGAGATTGGTAGGGGGTTTGACGGGTGGATATTTCATGATGGGATGGAGGGCTGTGTGATGAATATTTATTAATGTTAACCAGATTAATTTCAACCTGAGTAACACCCTAGAGGACATAAAAAAATTATATGTTAGTAAATTCTTATTCTTTATAGATGTATTAATTGAAATTTGCTGCATGATGTACCTGGCTACTCCTTAAAATAACAAATAAATGAGTGGCCATCTCAGTATTATATATAATATCATCGGTCCATCGCAGAAAATGGGGTCTTTTATCATTGTAAATAGGAGCATGAACAGAAGGGTGCTCCAGGAACCAAATCTGCATAATATAAAAAATACTTTTAGCAAATGAATTATAAAAAACTAAATAAAAATTAGAATGAATATAACACTCATAATTAGCAGATGCACAAAATTGTTGATGTAACTTGTTGGCTTCTTATTTTAAATCTTATTAGAGGCCTTATTAAACTCTCTAACTAAAAATTCCCTAATTGACCCCTCCCAATTTATTGACAAGAAATCATCTACATTATTTGCTATTCGGCTAAGCAACCGAGGTGTTTTAAAGTTCACAAGTTGAAAAAATAAATTTGAATATAAATACATAATAAATATTCTCAACATGACCTCTGGGTTGCTTGTTCATCTCCATGGGGGGGGGGGGGTTTGCTTGTTCATCTCCATCATGTCTGAGGGGTTTGCTTGTTCATCTCCATCATGTCTGACTCATGTCCAATGATGTAACTGTTGTAGGTGCTAAGAAAAACTAGGATATAACTTCACATTTATTTTGAAGATCAGTGATAAGGGCCACTTCATCAACAGTGAAAGGAATAGCATGCCCCTTTAGAATAAAATATTACTTTGAAATATTCTACATTAAGATCAACTCATAAATAAGTGGGACGTTTTGCTCGAATCTAGAAAATTGTAAAAATTGTATGATATTTAATCTCTTCAAGCCGTCAATAACTTCAGAAGAAACATGCCGAGCAAAATTATCACAGATTGATCGAAACATCGAAATATAATATCGATAGGTAATAGGAGGAACATATATCTGAAAAATCAATGTTAAAAAAATATATAATAAGTTAAAAAGATAGTAAAAATACACACAATATATGCACAACATACGCACAATATACGCAAAAAATATGCACAGTATATACATAAAGTACGCACAATATACGCAGAGAGTACGCACTATATATGCATGAAGAACGAACAATTAAGGACAATACGCACAACGTATGCACAACGTACGCATAACATACGAACAACCTATGCATAAAACATTTATCCATTTTCCTTTTTATTTTTTATAAGATCCAAAGAGTTCATTTGTTAAAAGTATGTTAGAGTTTATGTTTCAGCATAAACCCTAAAAACAGAGAAAATACAATATACCCTATAACTAGCATCAAACATTTATGCAATTATCAAATATGAAATAAGCATAGTATGAGCATAAAATACAAATAGCATGGGCATAAAATATGTAGAGCATAAGCATAAAATATACAGAGCATGAGCATAAAATACGTAGAGCATGAGCATATAATACGTAAAAACTTACCTTTCATTTTGCAGTTGGAGAAGGTGACGCCATCAGAGAGAATGCAAGAACTTTGAAGACGAACGCTAGATTGCAAGAAGAGAGAATGCACGCAGCAAGAGTTTCACTTTGGAGATGGAACGACGGATGTTGAAAATCGAAAAGAAGTCGCTCGAAATGTGGAATTGAACCGTCATTTTCAATTTTAACCTTTATCGTGATTTACGTGTTGAAGCTTATCGGAATTCCACTAAGAAATCCACATCATTATCTTCCACATAGGCAAACCACGCTTAACAATTTTATTGACATCCGAACGCATCTCTACGTCCGAAATGCGCACCAAATAATTCCTCCACCATGAAACACCAAAATTTGCGTGCTAATTTTGTTTTCCATGGTGTTGCAGGCATGTACATAGTTTTTGAGTTTTTTTTTTTTTTCTCCTCAATGCTTTTACTCAAATTTCAAATTCTGTTACCAGAAAAAAAAAAAAAAGAACTGATATATCCAAGGTTATAAATTAATTGATTATCATTATATTCGAACTAAATATGAAAAAGATTGAATAATAAATTATAAAATGTAGCTTAAATTTATAATCTTGAAACTACAATCTTTTATTTTAATTATTGAGCCACAATTCTTTTCATTAATTTTTTGTTTTACAGATTCATATTCTAAATCTATTGCGACTCCCAATCAAGATTTCCCCTTAACTTTATGCATAAAAGGATTTGGGGCCACAACTAAAGCTTTCTTATTTATACATGCAATTAGAAATTTTTCTCAGAGTTTTTTGAGGTGAAGTAAATTGTTACAATTTCTTTGATGCTTCAACAACAGAACCGGGTCTTGCGCCTGCATTGTTTCAAAAAATGGCAATGCATTTACTTAAGGGTCAAATGTCTGGAATGGGAAATTTATATAAGCACTAGTTTTAAGATAGTGTGTAATGAGGAAATAGAATTGTAAAGTTAGATATATCGCAATTGAGGGACAGATTTATGCAAAATACAAATGCGTATGCTAAATTATAACTAAAAATGCTCTCAAATGGATTATCATGCTATGAGTAGGATTGTAAAAATCTACATACAGACTCAGGTCCACACATAAAATTAAAAATAAAAACTCAGTGGACAAAAACTTCTTCAAACTTAACAGTTACACAGCTTCACATTCTAAATATAAGGCAACTCCCAACTAAAAAGTCCCATCAAACTTGCGACAATTTCATCTTTGAAACCAACTTTCTCTTTCTTGGTTTTGCCTCTTCCTAGACCAAAGCATCAACATTAGTATTTTGAAGAGCATCAGATGGTCCAGATTTCATCTCAGATATTGAAGAAAGGTTTACGATAGTTCTAGGTGAAGGAGCAATAGAAGACTTTGTTATCTTGCACCAGAAGATCGCTTGAATTTTGAGACAGAAATGTCCCCATTTTTTATGCGATGAATATTCTTCGAATTTGTAGCTTTAAGAAAAGATGCAGCAGCAGAAGGATCTATAATGCGTCCTCCAGCAGCAACTGCAGCAGCTTGTATAAGAGGATCTGGCGTCACCAACGAAGAAGCAATTGCAGATTTCTTCATTGTTTTTTGGGGTGATGCAGGTTGTTGCAACTTCTTTGATGCTTCAAGAGAATAATCAGGTCTCGCGTCTGCATTGTTTTAGAAAATAAAATTTTATAATCCACTTAGCAGCCAAATGCCTGAAATAAGAAATTTATATGCTCGCCAATTTTTAGAGAATATATGGGACAGCTTTTTATGCAACAATTACATATGTCATGTGTTAAATTGAGACAAAAAATGTTTTCTGATAGATTAATCATGTATGAGATTATTAGGGTTCTTAAAATCCCCTTCCAATCAAACACAAATTTTGATACAAAACGTTATCTAAGAAAACAAGCTAATAACCTCTTTATTCGTAAAGAACCTCTTCCCATTCTAAACTCGTAACAAAATCCTAGCATTGACTAGGACCTCGACCACATCAGCATGATGCACATTGACTAGTTCACCTTCTTCATACCATAGACGATGCATTTATTGTTAACATCTTTATTGTCGATGCATCCACCAACAAAACCTCCATGATGCTTTTGTCCATTGTCTTACACCTCTATTGACACCACTACTGATGTCTCCCCAAGTAATAGAGTAGCAGCTTATCTTATAGAAAAACCTGTGTTATAAGTCGTCTATTACTAGACTAGACCTGTATCACAACCCTCTCATTGGAGGACCTGCATTGCAATCATCTCTCATAAGAACTATACTGTATCCATCTTCCTCAAGACATATAAACCACAGCTATCTCCCATAAGACCTATTCTGCATGTCTTGCTTAATACCTATGTCACAATAATCTCTTGCAAGACTAATGCCACAATCATCACCGATGTGCAATACCTATATCGCAGCAAGATTTATGCCATAGTAAAAAGTATACCCAACCGTCATCAGCATGTCCAACATTTTAAAAACGATGATCAGCATTGCAATGACACTATGACATATTATAGCTTCTTAATGGCCCAACACACTAGTAAAATTAGTTTCATCAAAAATTTCAGGTAAACAAATAAACAAAAGTCATATCAGTGCAGGTTGGGTCGCTGCATAAACGTACTAGGTTGATGAGGCAGTGAGTACTACAATCACAATCATTTTCAGCAAGACCAACTTCATGGTAATCTATTTTTAGACCTGTGCAACAATTGTCTCCCTCAATATTTGCACTGCAGCCATCTCTCGCAAGACATGTTGCAGGCACTTCCTAAAGAAAAACACCTCAACCGTCTCCAACAAAGCCTACACCATACAATCTCCCATAAAACTTACATCGTCGTTTTCTCCCTTAAGATATGTGACAGACAAATTCTACAAAACCTACACTACATCATCTCCCTTAAGACATATGACACAACAAGACGTACGCTGCAATCATCACCCATAAGATTAGCATCACAGCAGACCTATGTCCCTGCCCTGTGCAACAACTAACTTCAAACAAACCGACTATTAACTTACACAATAACTGCTGACAACAACTTTGACAACTCATTTCTTGCATTATGTCATTTTCCATGATTATATAAAGATGATATCATGTATTTCCTTTTATAATAGTGGAAGCTATTCGATTATGCAATACCTCATGATTTTTCCTCCTAGGGGTTCTACATAAAAAATTAGGCGCCATTGCTCTCTACTTAATTACTTGTATGCAATGAAAAAGGATTAAGATAAAAATCAAACCTCACTCTACTTGCTTGACTTTCCAGTTTCCACACAAAGAAAAAATATATGTTTACAAACTATAACTCCATCAATCAATGCCAAAATTAAATTTGACTCTTAACAAGATACAATGAATAAAAAGGATGCATATAGCTGATCACATATAGTAGGATAAAGACTTGATGTTGTTATTGTTGTTGTTATGGATTTATGATAGAGTAAACATCATATAAGCATACTTTTAGAACACTATAAAACCAAACATAATAATGAAAGATGGTCTGCCAAAAAATGCATGTACCAAAAGTCCTTTTTTAAAAAAAGGGGGACAGAGAGACAATATTTCATGTTCATCTATGACAAGGCTAGTCAATGGTAAGATAGACATAACCTAATCCAAAACTAAACCCAGTTATTTTAATAAACAAATCAAGGTTAAGACCAAATTACCAACTTGTACTGATTATCCTGCACTGAGGAAAAACTTAGGATAGGGACAACCTGATCTGATTCAGACCAAATTGCAGCATATGCTGTATACGTAAACTATATTAAATGATTCATAATTTCAATAATTAGTTTTTGTGTGATAGTCTCAAGCGATTTATACTAAGTTTTGAAGTACCTGAAAGCAATTTTGATAAGCTTCCAATCGTAGGTATATTAAGAGCCATTGATATTGCCTTTCTGGTAGCAAGCTGTTCATTGTGCAGCACCCAATCGTTTATCTTGTCATTACTAGCTAAATTTGATGAAGTCAATCGTTTTTTAATGATATTCCACCTCTGAGTAAAAATTAAAATCACTGTATCAATTAGAGTAAGAAGAATACCTAAGATCTAAGTCATCTTAAAATCAAAAGTCTGAGTCCATAAACTAATTAGTATGAAAAGAATGAAAATAAATCATACAAACCTTAGATAACTGAGAAGTCGTCCTATCTTGCTTAAAATCATCCTTTAAAATATTCAGCCAGTTTCCTTCACCATGTTTTTTAACAGCAGCTATTAGATCATTTTCCTCTTGTGTGGTCCATGAATTTCTCTTTCTTTTGTTCGAAAATGCCGGGTAAGCAATTTCATTCCCTTGCAAAGTCCCAGTATAAGCTGGCATCAATGTTTGCTTCTTAGCAACAGAATTCAAAAGAATAGTGTTCTTCACAGTACTAGGATGAACCGCTTTCTTAGAATGTGATTCTTTGCGGAAATGAAAATCACTCATAGGAGCATCAGGAATCATACTAGAAGGCATTATAACCTAACATTTGTAACAACCTAAATGTTATAAAATAAATACTAATAGAAGCATATTACTTGTTTAAACTCAATAGTAGTTATAAGCTCTATGCCGCAGAAAAAAAAGGAGAATAAGCTAGAAGGATCTGACACTCCACTGGTAGCAAGAAGATAGCTTCTTACTTCTAAAATCAAGTAAAATTTCAAGAATATTCACAATGCTTAATACTTGATTATATCATGTCCCTAATCTTTAAAAGGCTAAAATTTTGATCATGGTTTAAAATTGCGCAATATGAGGCCCGCCTTCGTGTGCTTTCAGTCAAAAATAGTTGGAGGCTTACACCTCGAGCGTTTTTTATGAGACTTGCAACTCACCTTGGTTGAGGCCCACCTTGATGCGCACCTTGCTTCACCCTATATATATATGATGACTCAAATAAAAAACCCCTCAATAATGACAGTGCAGGTGATTTCTAAGTCATTGCCATCAATTCCCATTTTCTTAGGAATTAAATGTGGATGAATGAGGAAATGAGAAAGAAGAAATTTGGAGTAAAACTTAATTTTATACGATACTTTTATACAATTCCTATATTTTATGTTGTTTTGTTAATGTAATATTTATCTTTCAATTCTATTTTATGCAATTTATCACTTTACATCATGTACAATTTTTATTTCATATATATATATATCAATTTGTTACTTCATAGTTTAATAAAAAGTTAATATATCATCCTTTAACATATTATTGAGACATTATATAAAAAAAAATACTTTAATATTTATTTTCACTTACGCAATTTTTGAATTTTAAAGCTGAGGCTTACATCTTTCTTCACAAATAAAAAATGTCTCAATACCCAATTGCGCAACTTTAAATTTTAATTTTGATATTATATTCTATACTTTTTGATTAAGTTCTGGTAGAATATATACATATAAAGCTTATCTACTAGATTTGTTTTTGCATTGTATGAGATCGATAAATTCATGGAACCACATTGCATAATAGAAATGGTGTTTACTTTACCTCAATACATTTGTTGGCCTGTAATGAAGCCTCCGCACTAGCAGAAGGAACAGCTTCGAGTTCGAATTCCAGATCACTGTCATCCTCCTGCGATCATACCAAAATTTGGTTCTTACTAGCACAATTAGGACACTCAAGAAAGAAATCATAAAATCCAACTTAAAATCACAACAGAATTAAAAACTAAAATTAAATATAAAGCTAGTGAAGAAGATTACTAAAGATGATATATTAGTAGGCATGCAACTTAGAGAATATACTAAGGTAAATGCATAAACACACTATAAAGAGATAAAAAACTGTTAGGAAGGCTAAAATCCAGCCAAAATAGAGTGCAAGGGGTTGAATATCTCATGTTTATTACGTTAGGGGTCAGAAAAAATCAGATCTAAACTATGTAATGGAAATTAGTATATCATCCCGTTGCAATTCTAACTAAGACTCATTCCATCTTTTACCCTTGGTATTTGGTTGTGTTGCGCATGAACTTTATAACATGAAATGCAGAGATATGGACTTCCCATAGTGTATCATAACTTAATTTTGCTAATTTCATTTCCTTCTGTATACTAGCATATGCCTTTTCATGTACATAGTAGTCAGCAGTTTATGTAGAAGAGTTTGCATCTTGTGGGTTCACACAAGAGCTCATCCCAAGATAACAAAATCCTACTTTATAAAGAACTTGGTAGGGAGTCACCTCCCACATAAACAGTCAAGGAACCTTGCAAGTCGCACAGCTCAACACTTGCCCAACATGAAGAATTCACTGTCAATGTTGCTCGCCACCCACCACAATAGGGTATCATTGTTCTCACTTGAAACTTCAACTGCATGAAAGACGACTACTCAAGAGGCTTTTAGCTAGCCCTACCATTATCAGTCAGCCATAGAGCTCATCTATCCCACAACTCAAGCTAGAACCCTCAGTGACATGGAGAATCCGAACTCTGATGCTCGTCATGGTCTCATGGAGATGGAAGAAAGATAGATGAAAATGATCCAAGATGCCTTGGGAGGGCTACCTAGGTGCGCACAAAGGGAGAGCACCCCTGAAGGATCATTTAACTCGACAACTCTCCATAGAAGGTTGGACAGTAGGACACTAACCTCAACCAATCCCAGATCCCACTCACACAATGACAAGCAATGAAGAGTACAACTAGCCGCCTCAACGAGTTAGAAGGGCATAACCAAAATTGAAAAACGCCTTCACTAGGGAGGTAGCAGAGACAACACTGCCTCCCAGGTTCAATGTGCCGCATTTGAAATATGTGCAAGACTGGCCTAGTGGATCATGTCACAACTTTTGAGTTGATGATCTCTCTATCTTTGATGGGCATTGTCGATGATGCCCTCAAGTGTCATCTATTCTTCACAACACTCAAGGGGTGTAGACTGAGGTAGTTCACTCAGCTAACAGTGGGAGTCATCACCTCCTTTCATGAATCTAAAAGAATGATTGAGACATAATTTGCCAGTGCCCAGAAGTCTCAAAATAATTTACAAACTCTTCTCAAGATGGGATAATGACCAGGTGAGTCATTAAAAAATTTTATAGTAAAGATTCAAGGGGAGATGGAGGAGGTGAAGGATGTAGATCTTGCACTAGCCTAGGCAACCTTAACCCAAGGACTAAGAGAGGATCCTTTTCAGTACGCACCTATAGCAGCCAAGGACGTTGAATGAATTATTGGAGCTAGTCAAAAATCATGACAAGGCCGAAGAATACAACAGTGTTCATACCCTAGATACTTAATGATTAGTGACTTCCCGTTGAAGACCATCAATGCTTTCTCCTCTTTCTTGCTGAGTGCAGGATGGACCATACTCTTGGAAAAAAGATTGGGGCAATTCGCATAAACCATTCCACTGAATTGTGGATGAAGACAAACTCCACTTTCCAATCCCTCACCATGTTTGTCGTGGCCCATTTGTGAAGAGCCACCATTGCAAACCATGAGTGCTCTCTCTATAGGCTAGGGAGGGCAAAAGAAGTTTTGTAGAGTGCTCACACTCACATGGGCCCTACAAAGGTATACTTATAGAGAATTAGAGATGCACGGACATCTAAAGCACAAATCAAATCCGCATTGCATGCAAAAATTTGGCCCAAAACTTCTCATCATTTCCTAAGGATTTGATGCTTCCTACTCACTCGACATAGCAAGTAATCATCGATAGACACCTACAATCACCCACAAGTCATGCACTACATACCATGTCATCAAATTATATTCAAAATGAACTTGCTAAATCACATTAAGTCGCCAGTTAAAGATTCAGCAATGAAGTCACCATTATAGAATAAAGACCAACTCATCACAATGAAGATAAATAGAAATCGTTGAAAATATTCTAAGTATTCTACTTGCTATTCAGAGCACACACATTAGTGTTCACCATGGTGTCATAAACATAGTGCTTGCCGCACAATCATGAAACACGGTATTCCCCATAATATGGTAAACATAATTTTTGCCAAAACATCACATATGAAGTACTCATATTAAAAATAGAAACAATACAATAAAAACATAGTACTCGCCGAAACATAAAAAATTTATTAGTAGATAAAATAAAGGTTTTTACATTAAGTTCCGCACGTTACACATTACATAGAAGTAAAAAGTGGTGTAAGTTTGCTCGTCAACACGAAAAAACCTACATGATGGGTCACTTGCCATCTCATCTTAGGCGGCAAGATGCGAGTTGCCGCCACCTTGGCTTGCAAGGCGGCAAGTCCTTTTTGAATTGAAAGATCGTCCTTGAAGTGGCACCCTTTTAAGAGTCACCCAACTTTCCCACTATAATGCTCAAAAATGTTCAAAAAGGGTAAACATAAATTTGCCCTAAAATCATACCCCATTTTTTCACACATTCAAAACAGCATTAAACTTATTTTTATGAAATTTTATTTTTTATTTATATCATTTTGAAATATATATATATATATATATATATATATATATGCATATAAAATATAAGCCTAATAGGCATATATAAATTAATTTATTTGGGAAATCAAAACTTAGGAAAATTACTTTTCATTAATAAAAACATATTGTAGCAAATCAGATTTTCCACTTACTGGCTCATGCAAAGGCTAATTAGTGCGGAAATCTAATGGCTGAAATTAATTGGGTGATAAGTATTAGTTATATAAACTTACACATTAAACCCTTTTAATTCCTTCCTCCTCCCGTATCCTCTAGAGCCGAAGCAATAACCTCCTGAGAGAGAGAAGAAGGTGGAAGTGAAGAAGGAAGAAATCATAGATTGGATACTGCAGCAATATACTACAGCTATTTCTTTATGGCGATGTCACCGCAGAGATCTAATGCAGCAGGTGTTGTAGGAATCGGGAAAAGAATAGGGAAAGCCGTAGGAAAGGAGAAAAGAAAAAGGGAAGAAAAGTAAAGAAAAATGGGAGAAAGAAATTAGGTGAAAGTTTTATCGTGTTCATTTTGTATTGTAGGAACAAGAAATTTGAATGAGGGGCAATTTAACTGAGGTAAAATCTTATGTTTAAGATTTTGTTGTAAATTAAATTTCTAAATTAGATTCTTTATAATTTGATAAAATCATGATTTATTAGGTTGTTTATAAAGGAAAAAGAAGTTGCGGTATCCTAAGTGATCAAATTCATCCTACTAGCCCAGAAAATGAGGTGAGATAACCAAATTTCTAATACAAAAAGTGGCAAATTTTTAAATCTAACCTGTATAACATTTCTTCATGTTAATCATAAGATGAAATTTTGGGTAACAAGAATAGCTTCAGTTTTATAATCATTTGTTCATTATGAATTTATTTTACATATACAATATTTTGTGTGTAATGTTACATGATATTATTGACGTCTTCTATGCTAGTTTGGAAGTTATTGAGAAAAATTATATTATGGGGATAGGCATGCACAAGTAAACGTGAAAGATCTAACAAGATAAGCCTTAGTAGGGACCATACAAGAGGTACCCGGCTCTCTCTTTTATAAAGTACGAGTTTTTAGATCCAACATTGAAGGGAGAGACCATAACCTATAGTCATCATATGACTTTCCTAAAATATTGTACAATGAATATAATAAGGAATATAGGAGAAACCTGAAAGAGTTCATACAGTAATTGCATGGTTTTATGCCTTGATCATTTAATACACTTATGATCCTTATATTAGTTCAAATTATCAGCATACATGTTAATTGTTTCTTGCTCTTCTATTAGGATTGTGTATTTCATGTATCATTTAGCTCACCAGTTGATGTATTGAAGGGGAAAGAAACTAGTGGGCTTTAGGTAGAAGATTTGACCGCCCTGTATGCATTATCATTTTGGGTGTTCATTTTTTGGTGTGGATAGAAGATGGACCTTTGCGGTATGTAAAATTTTATTTGCAGTTTTAATAAAGCCAATGTATTTATTTTTAATGTATGTGGTGCATGCGTCCAAACATTAAATCTTGAGATATAATTCTATGGCTAAAAAATATTAATGTTGGGATAGTCCAAACAGATTATATTTCTATTCACTCGTCAATCCTGGAGAATGTATTTCCGGATGGGTTTTAGTGAGAAATGTATATGTATGGATTTTTCAACTCTGTTACACCTTAGGTTGACTAAGGTGGGTCAAAATGGGATGTGACACTCACTACCCTCTGAAGGTTCATCTCTTTTCAAGAACGCTAACTCACTCTACTAGTGTTTCCAGAGTAATTAGCCCTTGGGGAGGAATGCCATAATTAGAGATGCCCACTGATAGTGAGTATAGAGGTTTCTCAAAATTGCCTCTCCCTGAGGGGTGGGATCCTCTTGCTCCTCAATGGGCACCCCCTCTTGTTCAGTGTGCCTCTTCACCCAACCATCCCATCGTTATCAAGTCCACAACCACTGAAGGCTTGACAGCTTAAGACTTAAATACAAAAGCCACCCCTATGATTAACAGTGAGGGATTAGCAATTGAAAATACCTTATCCAGAAAACATAAAAAACTACAATAAATTTATCATGCAAGATGGCCATCTGTGCATATAGCCCAAGTGGCCACTATGTCAAAACTAGTGCATTGAACATGCTCAGTAGATGCCTTAATAGCTCGCTCAAGGAGATATAGATCACTGGCTCATTCCAATAAGAAACTCGCCCACTTGATAATGCTTACCTTAGATATCTGAGGTAATTTTTCTTCTTACGTTCAAGGGGATAGAGGTGCCAACCCGATTCTAGGTGAGGTCACCACAACGTCAGTGGAGGCCACCTCATTAGTGTGAACCGCCTCCACCAGGCAAACCAAGGGCACTCGACTTGACATCCTCCAGTTAAACCACATATTATCAAAATCAGAAGAGAGGTTCACTCTTCCAAGACTTGTTGTGTCGATGCCTATAATGACTGTTTAGTCGACAACACTGCGGCAACTCGGGCTCAAGCTTCACTCTCTTTGCAGGGGGAGCGCCAATGAGTTTTTACCCTTACATTGTTTGGACATCACCCCCAACTATTTTACTTAGCAAAGGGTTACTCACTCCTTTCAGCCTTGACGCCTTTCCCTAGGAGGAAGGCTACCTTCTTTACTAGTGTTATTCTAAAAGAGGCTAACTCGACATGCTCCATTTTTATCACACTTGCAAGTTTCTATATCTTTATTCAAAGGCTCACAAGTGTAAAAGATTTCAGCACAAAACACTTTTTATATAGGACAATCAAGAGTAGTGTCGCATCACTATTAAAATAAAAATCTGCGTGATAACCTAGGCTACAATAAAACAGTGCAAAAACTTGGCATGTACTCTCCTGCAAATGTTTGGTATCCCTAATTGATGCTCGCTATCAATTCACTTGTCCATTTCATCGCCCCACGCTTCCAAGGGTCACGTGAATTGAGGAACTAAATGTATTCTAGCACATGCCTTTTCAGATACTTTAACAACTAGTTGACGGGTTATGGAAAAAGAGCTCGCAGCTTGTCGGCCCACATAGGAGCTATCCCAAGGTAAAAAACCTAGCTCTACAAAGGACTCATTAGGGAGCTACCTCACACATAAACAGTCAAAAACGTTCATAGGTCACCTAGCACACCACTCACTCCACTAGGAAGAATTTGTTGTAAATGTTGTGCACATCCACCATGTTAGGTATTGTTGATCTCACTTTTCACTTCAACTACAGGGAAGGTGCCTTCTAAAGAGACTCTCAACTTGCCCTATCATCATAAGCCGGCCATGGAGTTCATTTACCCCACAACTTAAGCTCACTCACCCCTCTCATCTCAGGATGTGGTGTGATTCAAACTTAATTATCTCTATTCAAGACTCGTATGCTCTTACTCGCCTACACACACACGACACTACTGAGATTGCCCAGAAGTAGACAAGTCAAGTTCAAGGAAGGCAACTCCACTCCGTCAGAGTATGATAAGTATTTAAGATAGTTTGTAGAGTCATTGAGTCTTGTATTTTTTATTCGTTTATTGATGTAGCATTATATGTAGTCCTCAAATCTCTATAAATAAAGGATGAACTATTAAGAGGAACATTTGGGATCTTTTTTACACCTTTGGCATCTCTTGTAGCTCTTGGCATTTTTATAGATATTAGAGTTATTGGACCATCTCCTACAAATTTTTCAATCTCTATACTCTCATAGGTTCCAGGTCATACTCTCAAAGCTTACCTACTAGTAAGGTCAGGCATCATCCATGAGCAAATTTGAATCCAACGCCTTAGTTGAGGAGAATATCAACTACTTTTCTTTCTGAGTTGCCACTTAATCAAATGAACATAAACTAGGATGCGACAATTATAATCATCTTTATTCCAAGTAACACTTAGAGATCCTAACTAGCCAAGCCTATCAATAATTGTATGTCTCAAGAGTTGTACTTTTAAGATAACATTCAGGTATGATTAAAAAAAGTGCCAAGCTTAAAAGCACCTTGAATATATTTTAATGAACGCACCCTTCAGGCAAGCAAAAGAATTGATCAACCAAAAATAATCGTTTAAAGAAAGCCACATCTCTTTAATAAACACACCCTTCAATCGTGCGAAAGATTTGATCAATCAAACATAATCGTTTAATGAAAGCTACTTCTCTTTAATATCCCATTTTATGCGTCTATTAGATCAAACCCATTGAAACTCAAAATGTCATAACCCAATATATCGAGTAGTATATATGCTACTATATTATATGCACGTATATAGACACATGCTAACATTAACAAGAAAAAATATGTTTCAAATGTCACACAAATATTAATCAACAACCCTAAAGCCTAAATAAAACAAAAGAAAATTAAAAAGATATTAAACATTTCGGAAAAAAGCTAACCTCAGGCTCAGTCTCGACTAAATTTTCAAAAAGAGGCTCACGGTATGCCAAATGACGCCAAAGCATTTGATACTCCCGTGCATTGGATATCCCTGTTGAAGACCTCTTTACAAGTGTCTTCCAGTCAATTTTCACATCTGTAATCTCGGAAATCTCCTTGAGAATAGTAATGATTATTGTTAGATTGTACCTGTAAAATAACATGATTAAAGTTATGAAAAAAAAAATTAATGAGCCACATAAGTATTGGAATAAACAACTCCAAGGAAAAAATATGGAAGTGTTCAAGAAGTTGTTTATAATAAAAAATAGTTTGAAAAAAAAATAACAATAAGAAAATTTGAAGGCATATTAAAGAGAATTTTTAAGTAGCTAATCAAAGTTTTGCTTGTAAACAACTCAAAGTTGAGTTACATTTTAAAAGTATAGTAAGCTGAGAGAGAAACTAATATCTATCCAAATTTTGCGAAATAGACTCTTTCATATTGAAATAGTTCTGGCTGTGTCTAGAATGCCAACGTTACCTGGAGAATTATTACATCTAGCTTGAAATATGATAAAAGTGGGGGAATTAACACATAATTTTTTAATTTCCATCTCTTCCATAAATCACAAACTGAAACCTTGTATTCAAAAAAAAATTTAAAATTTTTAATAGAATCGTGAGACTGATTGCAGGATGAATCATCAGCAACCGCCATTTCAGAATCACCATTGATAATATTGTAGAATAATGTTATAATATCAAAAGGAGTAATGAGATTATGAGTAAAATTTGAACCCTCGAAAGGGTGGCAGATCGATTTCCAATATATGACTCTTCAAGTATCAGCAGAACTGATATCTATATCCCGATGATACCAAAGATAACGGAGTGGGAGGGTTACTGGCATCCACAACAAACTAACATCATCTTGGAAAGGCACAAAAGTATTAAGTAGGTAGAGTTATTTTTACACTTGATTTTGTCTTCCTTGGGTTCAATAAGTTCTAGTAGCTATTTTCTAATCATGCAAAACTCTAATGAAGAGGAAAAACTATTTATCCTAATAGATCAATAAAAGTAGGACATTACAATTTCATCACAATTGTTTTAATCAAAAAAATTTTGTGGAAAAAAAAATTTGGTGAATGCAATCAGAGACCTATCATTTCCTCATTATGTTTTAAAATCATTTCATATGGTAGATAAAAATAGATGCTACTAGTACTGTATTTGACGGTATTGCCATCAAAAACGTATGAGGGATAATGACTCAAAAAGAAAACACGCAAAGATGCATACAAAGAAACAACCGTATTATTATAATAAGGATGTAGAAAAAAGAAATTAACAAGTTATTTCAAACAAGACCTGAGATATCCATTTTGACTCAAACTTATGATCATTGATATATTACATATTTCCAAAGTTAGCAACCAATAACCAACACAATAATGTGGGCTCCGAAAATTCGGCCCCGGCCTCCCGCGCTTTTCTATTTTATTCGGCGAGGAAGTTTTAATTGATAAGTTCCGAGATAAATTTTGGAAGGCAGATGGGTTTGTAGATAAGACACTACCCAGAGATTTCGCCCTCATTTTGTGAGGACTTTATGATCTGAGTTCTGGTTTCCTATAGGCGCAAGCCCCTATAGTTAATTACCCCTCTCGATCACGAGAGAGAACTTTCGATTAAGGGTAGTCGTCAATCAGATATGTAGAGATACGTGTTATCTGGCATATAGTAGCAGAAATGGACTTAGGATATTGGTAGAAATTGGATTTGAAATTTGGGTTTGGATTTGGGAATTTGGAAAGAGTTTGGGTGTTTGGAAAATTTAATATTTAAAATAGAAATTACACCATCTTGTACTTAAAGCGGATGGTGGGGGAATGGATGATAGACCCGATCAAGATCCCATGGTTCCGTCGTCTCGGGCCATCGTGGACCCTGGTCTACTTAGTCAGAGGAGGTAGTCGACCCAACCTGACAGAAGGATCCTTGTCGGCAGCCATGGGTTGCTTCGTCCAAGGGGACCTTGTAGACCTGGGTTGAATGTTTGTCTAAAGGGACAAATTTGAATCCACCTTAGCTTACAGAGGGCTTTGTGCCATATCGATCATATCCTATTGATTCATATCTCAAGAATTTAACGTCATTAAGAAGCGTATTGGCTCTGGCCATAACCGATATTTCGTGGTGCCATTTGGCGGCAAAACCACTCGGTTCAGAGGGCCCCAGGTCATAACCGTTTATCCTGCGGTGCCATTTGGCGGAAAAATCGCCGGTTAGAGGAACTGGCAGAAGACTTTTTGAGAATGGATCCTAGTAATATTTTCGACTAGGCATTTAGCTCTTTGTGAGCTAGAGTTTATTTGAATTTGTCCACCCCGGCAGACTATTGCGGAGGGTGGATGGATTTTGATTTAAGTGTTTGATAGTTAGATTTCAATTTTTAAATATTTTTGGATTTTCTGGATTCTGAATGATCTTTGGAATTTTTGGTTTTTTTGGATTTGGACTTTATGGAGTTTAGATTTTTGGGCATTTGGATGGAATTTGAAAGTATTTGTGAACCCCTCCAGTTGAGATAACCAATCAATACGGCCATCATCGGGGTGTTCGAGGTCATTTCTCTTTTATCGATTGAATCATGTCGACTCCATCGAATTATCGATAGAGAATCGGATTTTGCAGGCTTTATGACCTTGATTGTGAATTTGTATTGTTGTAGGCCTTGAATGCCTAATATGAATGTTTTAAAGCAAATATATCGGTCGCCACAACTTTATATTTGCTTAATGGTTCGAACCCTGTCAACTTCTATTGACCCGTATAGAAGGATCGGTTTCGAACCTGAATTCACTTGTTAACCCGCGCAGCATCCCTAAACGTCACGTGTGTACCAATAACACGCTCGCCGGGGCCCATGCGGGTTAAGATTGTATTTTTCCCTTTAGTGTACCTATGTGTATACAAATTACAGTGCACGTGCAAGGGTATTTTAAAATATTTGTAGACGCCTTCTGTCCGCTTGCATAAAAGTTGCGGATCCGGTGGCGTGTTATAGTTGTGGACGCCTTCTGTCTGCTTGTACGAATGTTGCAGATCCGGTGGCGTGGCGTTTTGATGTTGACTCCCCTTTCTCATTCACCGGGGGAGGATTTTCTGGATTTGGAGTCAAAGACTACTAATTTGGAAAGAACTCCTTTTAGGCTCTTCGGCGTAGTGGACTTGTTATTTATGGTGTTTGTGGGCACCCAAACTGTTCTCTTCTTAATTATAGAACCAAAAAGAGACTTTGGAACACCAGGAAGTTTGGTTCTAATTTGTTCAAATATTTCCCCCCTTTCTGCTAGGGGGTGTACTTTTTGTACATCGAGTCGCTCTTATACCCGACATACTTGGAGATTTTGGTCACCGCTGTCGTAGGTGATATCTGTACTTGTGTCCACAGTTATTCGTTGTTCTTTCAATGCACTGTTATTATCCATAAGTATCCATTTACAGGGGACCGCTGTATCCACTACGGGCTACTAGAAAATGTTTGCAGGAGATTCATTCTTTCTGCATCATATCCACCCTTTCACCAATCTCGGGTGGGTTTGTTGGGTTGCATTTGTTTGTAGGAAGGCGGATCCTCCATCATTGGTCCCTCGTATCGCCATCTCAATCAACAGGCATTTGTAGAAATTATCGTAGGAGATTTCAACAGTATATGTAGGAGGGACACCCGTATATTCTACAGTCATTCATTATTCCCGCAGGTACGATGCTCCCGATCTTGTAGGGACTATTGTAAAAGTCCACTACGTTCTTTGTTTATACGTGTCGAGGTCTTGTTCAATTTTTAGTGTATTCCACACTTAGTAGATTTGAATTTGAGTCTAAGTGTATGTTCAAAAATGACTGTTCAAAGTCTTCTGGAATCTTTGCAGGTTCAGTTTTATGTTCAAAATGACTTGAATTTGGCTCCAACTTTGAATTTGTTTCATTTGAATTTGGTCTTTATTAGTAGGTCCTCTGCACGTTTTTCAATGAAATTCAAAAGTCCACTGCCCTTTCTCATTTGGTTCAAATCTTTTGTTCTTTTGAGTTCAAAACAGGTCCAAGTGTAGTAATATTTCACCCGAAATTTCGGCAACCTCCCGGCGTCTCCCCCGTTTAGGGGAAAACTACGAGAAAACTGGGCCTTCCCACCACGCGCACTAAAAGCGTGCATGGTAGGTGCCCTCTTTCGAGGACACCTCGGCCGTGATTTTTCTTCCCACCACGCGCAATAAAGGCGTGCATGGGGTCTTTGACGGTACCTGTTACAGGAAAAGAGCAGTTTTCTTTCCCCCCGCCCGGGGGTTCTTATGAATTGTTCCGGCCACGCAAAGAAGAGAGTACACCAGGCTCACCTGGCCTCGTCGTGTGCGTCGAACCGGGTTCCCTCCAACCACGCTCACCAAAGACGTACTTAGGTGGTCTGCCGGCTCGACACGCATGTCAAGACAGGAGGGCGAGGCGTCGTAGGAGTCGTGCCGGGTTCCCTCCTACCACACTCACTAAAGGCGTGCTTAGGTGGTCCGTCGGCTCGACACACACGTCGAAGTAAGAGAGCGAGAGGGGAGGCGACTGTCCGCCTCGTCGTAGGCGTCGGACTGGATTCCCTCCTACCACGCTCAATAAAGGCGTGCTTAGGTGGTCTACCGGCCCGTCGTACACGCCGAGGACGGAAGCCTGAGTTTAGGGATTATACCTTCGGGACCAGTGGACCGGCGGTGGAGGGCACGGATGTCGAGGCAGGTGAAGGTATGAGAGACGAGCACTTACAATCTATTATTACTATTCTTTATTATAATCTATATTAACTATAATAATAATTAAATAATTATTTTTTATAATTAATTACTAATTAATAATTAATTATAATTAATAAGCTAATTTTAATCATAATTAATTAATGATTATAATTAATTTGAAATTAATTATAATCAATCAAAAAATTATAATTAATAATTAATTAGTAATTATAAATTAATTATAATTAGATAATTAATTATTATAATAATTAAATAATTACTAAATATAATTAATAGAAATTATAAATAAAATGAAGTAAATAATATCAATTAAAAAGGAAATCCCTGCAGGTTACGGGATTTGGCCGAGAGAAGTGCTCGAAAGGGAGATTGTCACCTTTACAGCCAACAGAGCTCCTGTTGTTGCTTCTGATTTAAATGTTGCAGCTTCCGATCCGAGAGGAAGGAAGTCGTCCAAGGAGCAACGTCGGACAGCCACTGAAGGGGCTGAAGGAGCGGCGCCAAAGGGGAGAAAGTTAACTTCACGCCAGCGAGCTCCTGTTCAAGCTTCCGATCAAAGTGTCGGAACTTCCGATCCTAACAGGAAGGGAATGTCGGAAGAGGGAGCGAAGTCGACCGGGCACGACGGAGCCGGAGAAGTCGTCGAAGGGGGACGCTCGAACAGAGGAGATCGGGCAAGGCAGGGAGGTGGAGGTCGGAGCTTCAGCGGCTCTGGCGTCAGGTTTGGAGTAGCGGCTGGCTCAAGTAAGGGAAGAAACTTCTCCCTCTCTCTCTCTCTCTCTCTCTTTCTCTCTGTTGGAAGCAACTACGACGGGATGCGATCGTGGAGAGGGGGGAAGAGCGAAGACGGGAGCTCGATCGTGAGTGAGGGAGAGATGTCGTGAACGGGAGAAGAGCCCTCGGCTTCTATTTAACAACGCTTGTGGTTGTTCGATCGAGGCAGATCGCTGGGTACCCGGGATGTTTCGGCGCCGCTTGCAGAGCTATCACGGGATTTCATGCTGGATTTCCGGCAATATTTGTGGATCCGACGGGTCATTCCCCTTTTTTTTCGTATTGCATGGAGGTCAACAACATGACCTTTTTTTATTAGATCTAAATGAGAATTTGACTCTTAATTGAGACCATAATGGAGAAAAAGAATTCATGTAGCCGACCCCATGTAGTGAGATAAAGGCTTGATGTTGTTGTTGTTGTATTACATAAATCTGTATGGCTAAAATTTGTATGCAAAAATCTGTATTGCTTAAATCTATATGGCTGAAATTTGTATGGTGAAATCAGTATTGCTTAAATCTATATGGCTGAAATTTTTATTGAAATATGTTTTGCTTAAATCTATATGGCTGAAATTTGTATTGTCGAAATCAGTTGTTGAATTCAATTAAGGAAAGGAGTAAGAGACTAAAGGAAAGGAGTGGATTGAATGAGGTTAGGTTTGGTGGAGGTGGTGTACAAGAGGAAAAGAAAACAGTCTAAGAGAACCAATTTCTAGTAAGGTAAGATACACAAACTATGGTTTAGAAAATAGAAAAATTGTATATAATTTTAAACTCATATTGTATATGATTTTGATGACATTAATTCCAGTTTCATTTTGTAGTTGATTAATGATTCATCAAATAATATTAAAATAGCATATTGTTATTATGATGAAAAGGTTGAGATAGATCATATATGGGGGATAGGTCAGCATAATTAAAGGCGCAAGATTTGACGAAGTAAGCCTACACTCTTTCAATTCTAAAAGTTGGAAATCAGACCTGACATTAAATGAGAGAGCAGCCTCAAATCTAAAAGTTGGAAATATGGACTCAAGTCACTCAACCTTGATTTAGAGAGCTGTGAATGTACAAAAGCTTATAATCATCATATGACTTGCATAAAAGTGTTTAACAATAAACAGAATAAAAAATGATGTTATGTATATCTTATGTCTATTATAGAAATTTTCATATCTTTTCAATTGACTGTCTATTATAGAAATTTTCATATGTTTTCAATTGGCAATCAACATGTTTATTATTTCTTATATATTGCTTGCGTATTTCATAAAGCTTTAGGGTAATTATACGATAGCAGTAATTATACTATAGGAAAGGGGAAAGAGTCAATGGGGCATTAAAACAGACAGTTGCCCTTTTTGTGTACATACGTTTTGGGCGAATATAAAGATCAAAGTAGAAGCTATACAAATATTTTTGGGTATGTAAATGTTATTTAAAAGTTTAGTAAAGCTCCATATTTTACTTAAGGTGTGTACTAGATATGTTTAAATATACTTTCATTTATGAAATATTAATTCTAGTCTTGAGTTTTAAAAAACTTGAAATTTTGGAAGATTTGGATTGACCATTTCCTACTCACTTGGTCCTAATAGAAGTATTTCATGATGGATGTTAGTAAGAGATAAGTCTGTTTAGATTATCCCTCTGCTACACTCTAGATTGATTAAAAGGGGTCAAAATGAGGTGTGACATGCTACACAACAAAATGTTGCTAGGGATACTTCATTCGCCATCCATAAATAGTAGATGAAATGAAGAATTTCAAACAACCCTTAAATAGTTACAATTAGTTATCTTAATCATCACAAACACTAACAGTAGCAACACTCCTAGCTAACTACTCAAAGTCATCTTACCAAGTCCTTGTTTCTATTCATTCGTAAGAGTTGCATTATATTGTGATAGTTATGCTTGAACATCAGTGAAGTTCTGTAAGAAAATAAAATTAGCTGCCAAACAGTGGAAGGGATTCCGATATTATAGGAAAACACTAATTACGTCATACCCTAACATCTTCAAGCCCGCCATGTACAATGATGGAAAAACTGCAAACAATTTTGGTTGCGTACAAAATCAGAAAAGAATTCAAACCATCAACCAAAATAAAATTGGTACTTGGTAGCATACAAAAAAAATGACCTTTGATTCAAATATATTAAAAATAAATATACAACAACAGCCTCAAACCTTTATCCCACTAAGTGGGATCAGATTAAAAATAAATATGAACTAAATAAATTTTTGTTATAATTAACCTAGTAAGATATAAGATATAAGCTTTGCTTACATAAGTAATAATCCGTATATTCAAGGAGAATTATTAAAAGAAAACAAAATCCTAGCGTAGAAAAATAAATATGAACTTACTTTGGTTTGAGAAAGCAATAAAGCAAGATAATATATATGTGCCATTCCCTCATAATTGCTTGGGGTGTTCTCTTGAGAGGATGCCTGGGCCCAAATTGACGACAGAAGAAGACCCACCTGGTAACCACTCAATCTTACGGACATCAACTCCTGCAGAAAAAGTACGGATTCTAATATTTCAAGCAACTAAAGATTCCATAGTCACCTTTCTAAATTCACTTACAGATGTTCCATCAGATGTTCGGTAAGGTAGGTAGAGTTCCATGCTAGCTGGAGCTGGGCAGACCACACACTGCTTGATATCTTCATCATGAGCTTCTTCCACACTTGTATCTTCTGCTTTATCAGTTAATTTGAGATTATGCTCTTTGGATTCATTCTCAAGAGAACAGTCTTCTTTACTAAGCTTCTCCAATATGGTTTCAACAGATGCAAACCCTGAAATAGCTACCAAAAGGGTTTGCCTCTGATCATAAACTCCATTTGAAACTAAGAGAGGAATAGACCAAGGATAAACATTTGAATGTAAGAGAATCACAGAGAAAATTCGATGGGAGCCAACTCTAATTTCATGATCTGGGTGTGCCATTGCCAAGACAAGTTGATGAAATAGAGCTTCTGGAAAAGCCTGAAATGTGAACAGGCGCATGAGGCATAATTTAGTAATTTCTATTCAGAAACATCCAAATTATGAAGTATGACATAGCATATCTAGGCATCTTGCCTTGTTTTTATAGGATAAATTTGGAATGGAGACTACTATTTGTGCAGTTCTGAAAACAGAAGACACTGTTGCTCTGGCCATGGGAGAAGTAGGAAGGTTCTCCAGCATAACAGCCATCATATCGAGGATTGTTCCAACATCACCTACCTACCAACCAATTCTACAGTCAACTTATTTGAATAGACATCGGAAGGAGGAAATAGACTAAAAATACATCTATACAGCATTACTAGAGCCCACATAAAAAATAAACTTGGTAAATAAGGTTGAAAATTTAGCAAGAAATCATTGATCCATCCCCTTAAACATGCCTGATTCAACAAAATCTTCAAAAAACTTATGAGAATAACCATAAATGAAGCATGTCGTACAAGACTGATCAACCTTCTTTGTTAGCTCCATGAGACAAACTTCCAAAGAAGAATGAAAGATAGAATTCCATTTACTGGTTTCCCTTCCAATATTAAATGCTTCAATAGAACATTGCAAACATTTACGCAAATGTCTCATCAGGTCACCTATTACTGTAACAATAGAGACTGAAGCTTGCAATTGTGCATGTTGAGCTATCTGCGTGACAATCTTGATAATGTTAACCTGCAAGTCAATCTGTTTGGCAACATTCCTGTGATCCAAGTGTTTGACCATAGAAAGCAGTAAATGATTGTTTTGTCCTGAATACAGAAAAACTATTAACTCAAAATCCACGCAGTAAGAAATTTAAATTCTAATGCAAAGAATAAAACAGAAAGTACTTTACCTGATTTTTCCATCAATTCCTGCACCAATGACAGAACAGAAATAGCAATTCCTTTGTCAGCAGACCAATAATTTCCCTCATCAAAAATACACAAAAGGGGCTCCAAAATACGCCGCACTGTTGTTGCTTCTTTGGCAATATTAAACATGTTTTGCAAACAAACCCTTGACCAATATGAAGGGCTTCGAGAAACATCCCTGCTATAGATATGCATTTGTAAGTATGCAAGAACCTGAGAGAGATACTCTGAGCAGAGAAATTATTCTGTTATTTATTGCTCACATTAAGGCAGCACACTCGGCTTTATTGTTAAGACGGAATGATGGGACCTTATTTACAGAATTCCTTAAGGATGAAAACTGCCCCGCTTTCAGGATAGCAGATTGGGTCTGGATACTTTGTGGTTGCAAACTTTGTAGATTCTTCTTTCCATTTTCTAAGTCCATCAGAACCTCATAATTTTCCAAAGTCACTGAGATTATCTGAATAGATCCCATAAAGAAATAGTACCGTCACACAATGAGAAATAAACAGACTGCACCAAGATGAAATTTCCTTCAAAACAAAATTTCTGGTTGCATGGGAAGCACAACATACTCATTGACACATCATGCAAAAGCAAGCATGTTATCACATGGAAATATAAAAATGCCCAATTACACAGACAGACAAGCATACCCGCATGCACGGCCACCAACATAAAAGCCTATAAAATAGGTTTCAGAGACATGCTTTCCAGCAGAATTAACTTTGCAGTCCTTCATTGGCCTTTCTTTATAGAAAACATTAATCTTTGTGATGAGAAATTATTACATACGAACTAAATATGTAGCTCTACAAGTGGAGTGCTGGAGTACAGTTGTCTAAACACTGTGTACTCCTTTTTTTTTGGAATAACAAACTGTTTATTCATTGTAGATTGGAGTTCACAGTGAGCACAAAGTTGTGTACTCACTGCAACACGAGCACCTCTTAAGTGTTCTCATTAATGTAATGGAGAGAAATGATGCTCTTTCATCTTGCCTTATTTTTCATACATCAAAAATAAAATCATACGACATTGCAGTGTAAATAATATATTTAAGAGATATAGCTTCAATCATCCACTGTCTAAATTTTGTGTAGAGATAAACTCACCTTATCAAACTCCAAAGTTATATGAGAGTAATCGCCCATGAAGCGAACCTAATAACAAATAACATGAGGGAGATCAAAATCCAATAAAACATCTAGACATGTATTTGCAGATTAAATTAATATAATTGCTTCTATTTAGTAAAATGCTAAAGGTATTCAAAGGAAAAAGGCAGTAAGTAATCTGCTATCCTCAAAAAAAATTTAAACATTCCAAAAGGATCCAGGAATAGTACAAAATCAGCAATGTAGAAGGGGGTTCATGTTTCTTTCCTCCACTTCAGATGCTTTACCAGCATAAACACTTTTATATCAGGTTAAAATGCAATCTATTACCTTCATAACCAAAAAAATAGGCATGATTTATACAGCATATACGAAATTAGTTTGATAAAGAATTTTAACCTGTTCCACATTTTCACTTTGGAGCACACACTCATAACTAATTGTTTAAATCATTAAATAAGTGTAATTATTCTACTTGAATCAAGAGAGAACAAATACTATAAAATATAATAAAACCTCATATTACAAATAAGCTACTATTTAAAAGCATTATGAAAGCTCAGGGTAAGATATCTATGCCTTTAAAATCTCAAAATACCCACCATGGAAGAAAGAGCCTGCAATGCTGCCGACCTCAAAAGAAGGCCCTTATCACCTCCAGCTTCTTGACAAAGCTGACAAAGTTTTGGAATAAGATTTTCTATGTTGAACATATAGGAGCTGTCAACCTGCACAATGAAACTTTAGCATAAGCAAGTTGCTAAAAAATGACATATGAAAAATGGAATAAAAAATGATATATGAAAAATGGAAATTACCCATTAAACTTACTTGATTATTGAGAAAGTCAACAAGAGTAAGACAACCAAGGATGCGCATATCATCTTGTCTGGTTTGATCAAGAAGAGTGCGTATAATGGAGAGGATACTTGTGGCAAACAATGGCCTACATTTGTTCAAGCTCAAATTAAAACAAACAAAGGATAAGAAAAAAACTTGTAACTTACTTGCTTTCAAAAAGAAGCTGGTTTCTTTACTTCTAAAGAGGTGGAATTTTTCCTAGTAATTATCAGCTGGAATCTTTCGTGATTTATTAAGATTGACTGATTTAATCTACCTAGTTTGCTGAGTATTTTCAGCTAATGTTGCTGAGTATTTTTCAGCCAACATGATTTACTAAGACTTACTGCCATAATGACTCGATTTAATCCCAGCCATTCAATTGAGAGCCTTAAGCATGATTGGAATAAAATTCCTGCAGCGGTCTTCCTCATCACCAATACCATTTTCTACATGTGAACAGAGTGGTTGATTCACTAAGAATAATGGCCCATAGCTACAAGCAGCTCCTTTTCACGGAGAAGGATGGCTCATCGTCCTCTTCACGGAGCCTTAAAATTAACCCCCACTGCATTACTTGATAACTTCCCACTAACATATTACCTTTTACAAGTTAGATGGAAGAATTTTCTTTCAACTTTCATATTCCGTCGACGCGAAAGGGACGAAAGCCGACAAAAGAACATGCTAGGAGCCCTAGGACTATACTCCAAACCAAAACCTCAGCTTTTGCTGTTAAGGGCTAAGAACAAAATTGGGGAGCAGATAATTTATGGTGTGATTTTTGCAAATAACTAACCATACACCCAAATTAAAATATATATACATGCTGGAAACTACACGTTGAACCAACAAACCATGACAACCCAAAGCAATTTAAAATTACCCATGGAGGTACTCATGCTTGACAAATCAACATTGAAGTCTCCAATAAAAAAGCTAGAGATTTTTAGGTTCCATCAATCGAAATAAGGAATCATCTTTAAAATTGCTCACACTTGACAAACAACAAGCACATTCTTAATTGCTCAGAGATAATTTTATATCAACCTTAGGATTTGTTTGGAAGAGCTTTTTTGACTGCTTCCTTGATAAAAAAATCAGTTGGTGATAATGGCCTTTTTAACACTTTTTCAAACTTTTGCCTTTAAAAAGATGTTTTTGAATAAAGCATTTTTAAAACTGTGGTTGAGAAAAGAGCTTTTAATGGCAATAACAAAAAAACTTAAACTGCCTCAACAAAACCTTAATTATATAAAAGAAGAATGGAAGTACTAGATTATTGACTGAGAAGCATCAACAAAACCTTATTGATTGTTAGTAAGTTCTTTTACAATCACTCTTGGGTGCTCAATTTACTGAGAAAATTCACTGATAAATAAATTATTTGGCATGTTGTCACTAAATTTGCAACGGCATATTTAAATTACAAAGATTTAATAAGTTAAAGCAATCCTTAGAAGATATGTTTGCTTCTAAATAATAGGATAGAAGTTCGTGGGCCAGCAAAACAATAAAGGAAGCAAATGAAGAAAATTATTATGAAAAATGATTCTGTCTAGCATAGTATAAATTATGATCAGAAAACTTAGAAAATTTAGTTAAGGTGGTAAGAATGGTTCCAACAAAGAGATTTATTTATCAAGCAATGAATTAGACTAAAAAGAGCTTAGCAAGAGATTTGGGGCGAGGAGGGGGGGGGCGTAATAAGGTGCCTACAAAGAATTTTGAAAAATTATAAATGAAAGATTGAACTGCCAGTTACATCAATACCTACACACTAGTGCATATTATTTGAACCATCAATTTCATTATAATAAGAACTTTTTTTGACAATTAGGTAAAAATTGGTTTATATGTATGCATAGATAAGCTTGTTCTTAAAGGTGACTACATCAAAACAAATAATTATCAACTTGAGAATTTTCATTTAAGAAATAAAATGTTTAGATTTATAGTAGCTAAAACATGTTACAAAACATGCCCTCTCGGTATGTTTGCATTCATTCGTAATTTTAAATTTGAATGTTTATTTTTAAGCTTCCTACTTGAATATATATTAATATTATACTTTTCATATAATATAGAGCGTTTGTGGGCTCAATTTAAATATGATGTTTCTAAACTAAAAGCATTTGTAGTTGAAGTTCTTAGTCTAACCTATTTGGCTTTTACATATAAGCATAATTAGAGCACATTCAATCAAATACATACAAAGAGAATTAATCAATTAGTTCCAGGACATATGAACAAGCTTGTTTATATTATATTTTAAAAATTTTGAAAAATAGACATCTTAATTTAAAGAAGCAAAGAATCGGTGAGGATGAATTTGATCCTTTAGTTGATGGTTTATAATATGATGATGAATGGGTAACTCCTAGAAGTGCTTATTTCTTGAAGTTGAAGTGACAATGAGGAAAATGAAGCAATCAATGTTAATATTGAAATATCCATTGAATCATGATTAGCTTCTACTTCACCAGTTTATAAAAGAAAGAAACAAAGTAGGCTAGAGCTTCAAAAAAAAATTTCAAAAGTAATCTTAAATATAATGAATTATTTTTTATATTATTAATTTGCTATTTTATTTTAGAGTATATCTAATATAATATTAAATGGTATAATGGATAAGAAAAAAAATATTATAGGAAAAGAAGATTTTGAAGATAACTTTGACATAAACTATGAGGATTCTTTGAAGATTGTCAAAGTGATGACGAGACTGCTTTGAATCTTGATCCTCGCAGCGTGTTTAAGTTTGAAGTGAATATTTCATTTCAATCATAGTCCAAACTCTTGAATTTCAATAACATTATCTTTTAAACAAGTCATTATGTTCATATATTATTTCTTTTTTTTCTCATTTTAATAAATTATTTCTAATTTTTTTAACAGTATACGTCCTCGTTTTGAGGCTTATGCCTCGATTCGTCTCGAGGCATACGCCATGCCTCCCTAAGACAAAACAGCTCGATTCCCAATTTCTCCTATTTAAACATATATATGATATTTATCTTCTTTTTATCATCATGGGTTTTTATGTTGTTGTTGTTTGGATTAAAGGATGTTACTTCAAAATATTATACTAACAATCATTTTTTTATAATTTACAAATGAAACTTTGTTACTTTATGGTGCTTCATCCTTTTAAGCAAAAAATTTAAGGAATATTTTGATCCTCTTTTAAAGATATTTTTTGGACTTGGGATTAACTTCTCTAGAACCTCTTAGATATAACTTGAGAAAAAATTTGGGTTGTTGGCTCATCTTACAAAGATTATAGATTGTCGTCAAGAATTTATTCCATTCAAGTGCTTAGGTTTTCCACATGTTTAAATAGAGAATTGAAAAGACTCAATCCAAGCTTTCTTCAAAATTCCCCCAAAAGGTTGATTGTGCTCATTAATTAACTGCTTGTTTATTTTCCCCTTTACTACTTTTTGAAAGTTCCCAATTGGTAATAAAAACTTTGATGGCATTAGAAAGAACTTTTAAAACCAAGTGGAATGTGGCAGCTTAAAACCTACCAAGTTTAAGAATATTTCTAGGCCAAAAGACAAATGTGGTATTAATATTAATAACTTATACGTGATTGTTGACCTCTATACATATTTCACATCTTAATTCAATTAAATTTGATGAAAATGACGAACAATTTGTCATGTCACACTAATCAAGTTTGAGATGCATTACGCAAATTGAAATCATCAAATCATCGCTTGTTTTGCAAATGAATCACGCTATGTATCCAAAGCATCAAAATTGCCAAGAAAGGACTTCAGTGGTTGATTCAATCAAATCCAACAAAAATGATAGACTACGGATGCAAGATCGAGCAAGCTGTCTTCCAAATGTGCTTTAATTGCAATACAAACGTACTCAAACATTGTTGTCTCGTAAAACAAAATATGTCGACATGTTTGGAACATCCAAATTGCCTAGAAAGGAGGCTCATATTGTTATGGTTGCTATATGAAAATAAATCAAAAATGTACTCACACACAAGAAGTCAGTGAAATTTTGACACGCTCAAGCAACAACAGATTATGCAAGGAGTCAATTTACCCTCAAGAAATTTATCCTTTATTAACCTAATTAAATTAAAAAATTGCCAAACAAACTGTTGGACCGGGTTTGCAGGCGGGGCCTGGACCCGTGCGGGTCTACAGGCGGAGGAAATAAGGGGGGGGCGGGATTTGGCTGGAAGTGGGACCCCCCACTTAAGTGAGGGTATTTTGGGGATGGGAGGGGATTTTTGAATGGGTATGAAGGGAGCCTTTAGGGTTTAGTTTTTGGGCATTATGAAAAGTGTATTCTCTCTCTTAGTTTCTCCTTAGCCTCCTTCTTGCTTTTTTCTAGGGTTTTCTTATGGGAGATCTTGTCCTTCTCGAAGTGGACAAACTTATCTTGTTTTCTCTTGGTTTTCTTATGCAAAGGTTTTAACTTCTCTTCTCAACCCTCTTGTGATTGTTCTTCATTGGTTTTGGTGGAGAAATTCCTCTTTTTGGTGGAAAACTAGGGCAAAACCGAAAGTGTCTAAACCTAAGGTGTATCAAGTTGGTATCAGAGCTCTTGATCCTAGACGGCATGGCGTCAAAGAAAGTGGAAGTTTTGGAGGGAGAGATGGGCCAATTGAAAGAGGAGGTGGGTGAGAAACTTTCGTCGATGGAGGGAAAATTTTCATCCCTAGAGGAGAGATTTGGGGGAATGGATTATTCATTGTAGATTGGAGTTCACAGTGAGCACAAAGTTGTGTACTCACTGCAACACGAGCACCTCTTAAGTGTTCTCATTAATGTAATGGAGAGAAATGATGCTCTTTCATCTTGCCTTATTTTTCATACATCAAAAATAAAATCATACGACATTGCAGTGTAAATAATATATTTAAGAGATATAGCTTCAATCATCCACTGTCTAAATTTTGTGTAGAGATAAACTCACCTTATCAAACTCCAAAGTTATATGAGAGTAATCGCCCATGAAGCGAACCTAATAACAAATAACATGAGGGAGATCAAAATCCAATAAAACATCTAGACATGTATTTGCAGATTAAATTAATATAATTGCTTCTATTTAGTAAAATGCTAAAGGTATTCAAAGGAAAAAGGCAGTAAGTAATCTGCTATCCTCAAAAAAAATTTAAACATTCCAAAAGGATCCAGGAATAGTACAAAATCAGCAATGTAGAAGGGGGTTCATGTTTCTTTCCTCCACTTCAGATGCTTTACCAGCATAAACACTTTTATATCAGGTTAAAATGCAATCTATTACCTTCATAACCAAAAAAATAGGCATGATTTATACAGCATATACGAAATTAGTTTGATAAAGAATTTTAACCTGTTCCACATTTTCACTTTGGAGCACACACTCATAACTAATTGTTTAAATCATTAAATAAGTGTAATTATTCTACTTGAATCAAGAGAGAACAAATACTATAAAATATAATAAAACCTCATATTACAAATAAGCTACTATTTAAAAGCATTATGAAAGCTCAGGGTAAGATATCTATGCCTTTAAAATCTCAAAATACCCACCATGGAAGAAAGAGCCTGCAATGCTGCCGACCTCAAAAGAAGGCCCTTATCACCTCCAGCTTCTTGACAAAGCTGACAAAGTTTTGGAATAAGATTTTCTATGTTGAACATATAGGAGCTGTCAACCTGCACAATGAAACTTTAGCATAAGCAAGTTGCTAAAAAATGACATATGAAAAATGGAATAAAAAATGATATATGAAAAATGGAAATTACCCATTAAACTTACTTGATTATTGAGAAAGTCAACAAGAGTAAGACAACCAAGGATGCGCATATCATCTTGTCTGGTTTGATCAAGAAGAGTGCGTATAATGGAGAGGATACTTGTGGCAAACAATGGCCTACATTTGTTCAAGCTCAAATTAAAACAAACAAAGGATAAGAAAAAAACTTGTAACTTACTTGCTCTCAAAAAGAAGCTGGTTTCTTTACTTCTAAAGAGGTGGAATTTTTCCTAGTAATTATCAGCTGGAATCTTTCGTGATTTATTAAGATTGACTGATTTAATCTACCTAGTTTGCTGAGTATTTTCAGCTAATGTTGCTGAGTATTTTTCAGCCAACATGATTTACTAAGACTTACTGCCATAATGACTCGATTTAATCCCAGCCATTCAATTGAGAGCCTTAAGCATGATTGGAATAAAATTCCTGCAGCGGTCTTCCTCATCACCAATACCATTTTCTACATGTGAACAGAGTGGTTGATTCACTAAGAATAATGGCCCATAGCTACAAGCAGCTCCTTTTCACGGAGAAGGATGGCTCATCGTCCTCTTCACGGAGCCTTAAAATTAACCCCCACTGCATTACTTGATAACTTCCCACTAACATATTACCTTTTACAAGTTAGATGGAAGAATTTTCTTTCAACTTTCATATTCCGTCGACGCGAAAGGGACGAAAGCCGACAAAAGAACATGCTAGGAGCCCTAGGACTATACTCCAAACCAAAACCTCAGCTTTTGCTGTTAAGGGCTAAGAACAAAATTGGGGAGCAGATAATTTATGGTGTGATTTTTGCAAATAACTAACCATACACCCAAATTAAAATATATATACATGCTGGAAACTACACGTTGAACCAACAAACCATGACAACCCAAAGCAATTTAAAATTACCCATGGAGGTACTCATGCTTGACAAATCAACATTGAAGTCTCCAATAAAAAAGCTAGAGATTTTTAGGTTCCATCAATCGAAATAAGGAATCATCTTTAAAATTGCTCACACTTGACAAACAACAAGCACATTCTTAATTGCTCAGAGATAATTTTATATCAACCTTAGGATTTGTTTGGAAGAGCTTTTTTGACTGCTTCCTTGATAAAAAAATCAGTTGGTGATAATGGCCTTTTTAACACTTTTTCAAACTTTTGCCTTTAAAAAGATGTTTTTGAATAAAGCATTTTTAAAACTGTGGTTGAGAAAAGAGCTTTTAATGGCAATAACAAAAAAACTTAAACTGCCTCAACAAAACCTTAATTATATAAAAGAAGAATGGAAGTACTAGATTATTGACTGAGAAGCATCAACAAAACCTTATTGATTGTTAGTAAGTTCTTTTACAATCACTCTTGGGTGCTCAATTTACTGAGAAAATTCACTGATAAATAAATTATTTGGCATGTTGTCACTAAATTTGCAACGGCATATTTAAATTACAAAGATTTAATAAGTTAAAGCAATCCTTAGAAGATATGTTTGCTTCTAAATAATAGGATAGAAGTTCGTGGGCCAGCAAAACAATAAAGGAAGCAAATGAAGAAAATTATTATGAAAAATGATTCTGTCTAGCATAGTATAAATTATGATCAGAAAACTTAGAAAATTTAGTTAAGGTGGTAAGAATGGTTCCAACAAAGAGATTTATTTATCAAGCAATGAATTAGACTAAAAAGAGCTTAGCAAGAGATTTGGGGCGAGGAGGGGGGGGGGCGTAATAAGGTGCCTACAAAGAATTTTGAAAAATTATAAATGAAAGATTGAACTGCCAGTTACATCAATACCTACACACTAGTGCATATTATTTGAACCATCAATTTCATTATAATAAGAACTTTTTTTGACAATTAGGTAAAAATTGGTTTATATGTATGCATAGATAAGCTTGTTCTTAAAGGTGACTACATCAAAACAAATAATTATCAACTTGAGAATTTTCATTTAAGAAATAAAATGTTTAGATTTATAGTAGCTAAAACATGTTACAAAACATGCCCTCTCGGTATGTTTGCATTCATTCGTAATTTTAAATTTGAATGTTTATTTTTAAGCTTCCTACTTGAATATATATTAATATTATACTTTTCATATAATATAGAGCGTTTGTGGGCTCAATTTAAATATGATGTTTCTAAACTAAAAGCATTTGTAGTTGAAGTTCTTAGTCTAACCTATTTGGCTTTTACATATAAGCATAATTAGAGCACATTCAATCAAATACATACAAAGAGAATTAATCAATTAGTTCCAGGACATATGAACAAGCTTGTTTATATTATATTTTAAAAATTTTGAAAAATAGACATCTTAATTTAAAGAAGCAAAGAATCGGTGAGGATGAATTTGATCCTTTAGTTGATGGTTTATAATATGATGATGAATGGGTAACTCCTAGAAGTGCTTATTTCTTGAAGTTGAAGTGACAATGAGGAAAATGAAGCAATCAATGTTAATATTGAAATATCCATTGAATCATGATTAGCTTCTACTTCACCAGTTTATAAAAGAAAGAAACAAAGTAGGCTAGAGCTTCAAAAAAAAATTTCAAAAGTAATCTTAAATATAATGAATTATTTTTTATATTATTAATTTGCTATTTTATTTTAGAGTATATCTAATATAATATTAAATGGTATAATGGATAAGAAAAAAAATATTATAGGAAAAGAAGATTTTGAAGATAACTTTGACATAAACTATGAGGATTCTTTGAAGATTGTCAAAGTGATGACGAGACTGCTTTGAATCTTGATCCTCGCAGCGTGTTTAAGTTTGAAGTGAATATTTCATTTCAATCATAGTCCAAACTCTTGAATTTCAATAACATTATCTTTTAAACAAGTCATTATGTTCATATATTATTTCTTTTTTTTCTCATTTTAATAAATTATTTCTAATTTTTTTAACAGTATACGTCCTCGTTTTGAGGCTTATGCCTCGATTCGTCTCGAGGCATACGCCATGCCTCCCTAAGACAAAACAGCTCGATTCCCAATTTCTCCTATTTAAACATATATATGATATTTATCTTCTTTTTATCATCATGGGTTTTTATGTTGTTGTTGTTTGGATTAAAGGATGTTACTTCAAAATATTATACTAACAATCATTTTTTTATAATTTACAAATGAAACTTTGTTACTTTATGGTGCTTCATCCTTTTAAGCAAAAAATTTAAGGAATATTTTGATCCTCTTTTAAAGATATTTTTTGGACTTGGGATTAACTTCTCTAGAACCTCTTAGATATAACTTGAGAAAAAATTTGGGTTGTTGGCTCATCTTACAAAGATTATAGATTGTCGTCAAGAATTTATTCCATTCAAGTGCTTAGGTTTTCCACATGTTTAAATAGAGAATTGAAAAGACTCAATCCAAGCTTTCTTCAAAATTCCCCCAAAAGGTTGATTGTGCTCATTAATTAACTGCTTGTTTATTTTCCCCTTTACTACTTTTTGAAAGTTCCCAATTGGTAATAAAAACTTTGATGGCATTAGAAAGAACTTTTAAAACCAAGTGGAATGTGGCAGCTTAAAACCTACCAAGTTTAAGAATATTTCTAGGCCAAAAGACAAATGTGGTATTAATATTAATAACTTATACGTGATTGTTGACCTCTATACATATTTCACATCTTAATTCAATTAAATTTGATGAAAATGACGAACAATTTGTCATGTCACACTAATCAAGTTTGAGATGCATTACGCAAATTGAAATCATCAAATCATCGCTTGTTTTGCAAATGAATCACGCTATGTATCCAAAGCATCAAAATTGCCAAGAAAGGACTTCAGTGGTTGATTCAATCAAATCCAACAAAAATGATAGACTACGGATGCAAGATCGAGCAAGCTGTCTTCCAAATGTGCTTTAATTGCAATACAAACGTACTCAAACATTGTTGTCTCGTAAAACAAAATATGTCGACATGTTTGGAACATCCAAATTGCCTAGAAAGGAGGCTCATATTGTTATGGTTGCTATATGAAAATAAATCAAAAATGTACTCACACACAAGAAGTCAGTGAAATTTTGACACGCTCAAGCAACAACAGATTATGCAAGGAGTCAATTTACCCTCAAGAAATTTATCCTTTATTAACCTAATTAAATTAAAAAATTGCCAAACAAACTGTTGGACCGGGTTTGCAGGCGGGGCCTGGACCCGTGCGGGTCTACAGGCGGAGGAAATAAGGGGGGGGCGGGATTTGGCTGGAAGTGGGACCCCCCACTTAAGTGAGGGTATTTTGGGGATGGGAGGGGATTTTTGAATGGGTATGAAGGGAGCCTTTAGGGTTTAGTTTTTGGGCATTATGAAAAGTGTATTCTCTCTCTTAGTTTCTCCTTAGCCTCCTTCTTGCTCTTTTTCTTGTGGGAGATCTTGTCCTTCTCGAAGTGGACAAACTTATCTTGTTTTCTCTTGGTTTTCTTATGCAAAGGTTTTAACTTCTCTTCTCAACCCTCTTGTGATTGTTCTTCATTGATTTTGGTGGAGAAATTCCTCTTTTTGGGGGAAAACTAGGGCAAAACCGAAAGTGTCTAAACCTAAGGTGTATCACAAACTCCCCAAATCCTTGGCTTGGAGCTATCACTGTACTCACAAATACCGCACTCTCGTTTTGTCACAGTCCTCCCATCTGGCCTCCATTATTACTAAGAGGGCTATGTTTGACCCTAATTAGAACTATGCAGTAGAAAATAAAATGCGGACTCTCCTTCATCATCAAGCTTGGGAATTAGTTACACCCCCAACTGCGTTTAAATTTATTTCTTATTATGGATTTTTCTTATAAAGTTCCTTCCTAATAGCTCTATAAATACTACAAAACTAGATTAATGGTGAAAAATATATACTCAAATCCATGGCATTAATTACTTTGAGATGTATTTACCATTTTTGGGACAAAACTTTGTTCGTCTTATTGTCTTAATTGGCAGTAATCAAGGATGGCATACATTACAAATGAAAATCAGTAATGCTTTTTCTATGCAAATATTATCGAACCAGTTTATGTGGAGCAACCTCTAGGGTATGTTGCCCAATGAGAGAACCAAAATATGCAATCTGAATCAAGTTATATATAAATTGAGAAAAAAATTTCGTGCCTGATTCGACAAACTTTGCAAGTTTCTTTCATACTGAGACTGGACAACGGAGTAGCATGATTGATCACCATATCTTTATTTGGTACTCTCCCTTTTGCATAGTGATTTTAGTTGTTTATTTTTATCATATTATTTTCATAGAAAGTGGTATTTTAAGCATCGCTAAAATAAAATATCTGCAAAAGATGTTTGTCACTAAAAATCTAGGGAGGCCAAAATACTTTCTTGGTATTAAGTTTGCATACAAGAAGGCATTTCTCTCTCTACAAGAAAATACATTACAAACTTTCTTAACGAAATTGACTTCCTTTGTGTAAGGCCTATTGATTATCTCATGCAAACTCTAAAATTACATGAGGATGATGAAAGTTATGAAGATCATTCTCAAAATCGATGTCTTACTGGCAACTTAGATATTGAACAATCACTCGATTTCTCATATCCCTTACTATTAATGTGACCAATTAGCATATACAAAACCTAAAGAATATGCATGGGAAGGTTTTAAAGAATCGTATTCAAGAAATTTTCAAGAAAAGGTTTTATCCATAAAAAGTATAATCATGTGAGGATTGAAGCCTTACTAATGCAAACTATGTTTGATCTATTGAAGATAAGAAAAAATCTACCTCAATAAGTTATGTGAGTGAAAATCTCACATCCTGTAAAAATAAAAAGCATGTTGTAGCTAGATCGAATGTTGAAGTTGAATATTCTGCTTGTGAAATAATGTGGATCACTTTGTTTTCCTATCACAAAGCTCATGATCCTCAACACTGATAATAAGTCAGCTATCTATGTCACAAGCAATTAACCCTAATAATAAGCCGGCAATCTCATCTTAAATGAAATAATCAAACAAATTGAAGTAGACTGTCACTACATAAAAGATGTAGTTCAAAGTAGATCATCACTTCTCACATCTCCAACAACAAAAAATAGCAGATATTTTACCAAAACTCTAGGATCACTTTGTTTTTCAATCATTGTAACAAGCTAAAAATTATTGATATGTAAGTTACAACTTGAGGAAGAGCGTTATTGAGGAATAGCTAGATTGGAAAGTACTAGATTTGGGATATTTATTACTTTATTGAGGGGATACTTTTATTATGCTTTATTTCCTATTAATTGAGGATATTTATCACTTTATTTCCTTCCTTCCAACTTGTATGCTTATACATACATAGGCTCAAACTCTCGGCAAATAAGAAACAAGAATTCTCTCTTCCAACATAATTTATTATAAAATCCAAAAATGACCCCTAACTATTTGTATTCAACCAATATAGTCTCAAATTATCGCATTTCTCCAATTTAGATCCCCAACTAAATAAAATTGATAAAAAATGGCCCATCAAGGACTAACTAAGATAAATTTTAGATGGTTAAGAGATTAAATTAGGATCAATTTTATATCACAATATCTATATAATTGATCATTTTGGATCAATTTTGTTTATTCGAGGGAGTACATTAAGAAGATGTTGTACTCTGAACCTAAATTGGCCACATACAAATAGTCAAGACACAAATTTAGGATTTAACCTTATTCCCAAAAGTCAAAAGAGTGAGACACTAGTTGTTTTGCAGCCCTATGTTGGTTATGTCGAGTGAAAACATTCAATGTTTAGAATTATGTTTTTTTTAGATGTATTATATTTAGTTATGCCCTGAAAAAATGGATTCTTTATACAAAATGGAAAATAATTGCATATTTTATTCAAAGATAATGATGGCATGGTATCTTATGAAATTTTTATTATTCTTCTGTCTAACCCAACTTGCATATTCCTCATAACCCTCTCAATCCTCGATGATGAGGATTGAACTTTTGGTGAGATGATTTATCCCTGAGCTATACTAGCAACATACAACAGTAAACGTTCACTCCAAAATAAAATAGATTATTAAAAACACAGGATTAGAAGATATGAGAATGTATGCCCATTTGGCCATTTATGTGTTTCTGTAAATAAAGACTGCCTTGGTAAAAATGATAATCCAAGAACCAGTATGCTCCGCTCTTATGAACATGATACAACTATACAAGTGCATCTTGAAAGCTCAAGAAATTGCAAAAGATAAGATCAATTTTGACTGTAAGCTCCAAGTGAAGGCAATTATGCATCAAATTAGCATGTCTTGAATGATAAAAGTTAAAATGGAAGAAAAATTTAAGCCCTTCTTAAACACAAGAAAATAAAAATAAACTTACATCTGCCCCTTACATGAAGCTAGCAATTTGCTGTAAATGCAAGGCACGGCCTTTGCAAAAAGAAATCGTTCATTGCGTAGTTCTTTGTAAAATCTTTGCTCTAGATTATCTGTAATCTGTAGAAACAATACATGAAGAATGTCTAACGTCAAGTGGTTTCAGAATAAAGCTCCTCTGATAAAAAAAAAGAAAGCAAAAAGACTTTAATAAAAAATCAGTGACAGTGAACTACTTCTCCATGTCATGTATTAACACAAATACAAAGTGAAAGCCAATTTATTTTAAGAATTGCATGAGAAATTGATGGACTAATGACCATGCTGTTCATCAAGTTAGGCGTGTCCAATTATGAAGACAACAAAACATTAGGTTTGCAAAACTACAAGCACAACAGAGAGACTTCGCATGCAAGAATACTCCAAATCCATTTTGACTGTAATACTAACTTTTGAGAGCATGCTTAAACTTTTAATAAACACTGGGCAATGCAGCTTACATTAACCATTCAATTAAAGGAAAAACTAGCACAGAAAACAATAAAAAGTATTGGAATGATGTGATAGAGATAGAGGCAGAAAAAAGCATATAAGCATATGAAGTGCAGAGAGGAGGAGATCAAGAAAAGAAGAAAAAGGAAACAACAACATCAAACCTTCATCCCACTACGTGGAGTCAACTAAATGAATCATTTTTCTCCATAGTGTAATGCTTAGAGTCAAATTCTCATTTAAATCTAATAAACAAAGGTCATCTCTAATATTTTCTAACCAAGACTTTTAGGTCTAACTCTATCTTTCTTAACATAAGTCAAATCTAATAAATCTATGCTTCTAACCAGGTCATTGGAAGGTCGACGTTTTATGTGACCAAACCATCTAAAGCGACGCTCTCTAATCTTATCTGCCATTGGAGCTACTCAAACCTTTTCACATATATGCTCGTTTCGCACTCTATCTCTAATTGTAAAGTCACTCATCCACCTAAGCATCCTCATCTCTACCACACTTAACTTAATTTTATGGTTCTCTTTTAATGGCCAACATTCTACACCATAAAGTATTGTAGGTCTCACCACCATCTTATAGAATTTTCCCTTAAGTTTGAGGTGGGTTACTTTTCTATCACACAATAGGCCCAAAGCATTCCTTCAATTCAACCATCCAACTTAAAACCTATTAATAATATCTCAATCTATTTCACCGTCATTCTGAACAATAGACTCGAGATATTTAAAACATGTACTCTTATTAATGACTTGATCGCCCATAGATACATTCCCCCCACTAGATCTATTACTACTACAATGACACTCCATGTATTCATTTTTAGATCTAATCAAATGAAAACATTTAGACTCTAAGGTTGACATCCATAATTCAAGTTTACCATCAACTCACTCTATAGTCATATCAAGAAAAAGGATATCATCAGCAAAAAGCATACACCATGTACATCATTTTGCAAGTGTCTAGTGAGAACATCCATGACTAAAGCAAAAAGATATGAGCTTAAAGTTGATCCTCGATGTAATCCAATTGAAAAAGGAAAATAATTGGTCAAACCACCTTCTTTTTGAATACAAGCAACATCTCTTGCATACATTATCTTAATGGCTTGAATATAAGCATTATTAACCCCTTTCTTTTCTAAAACTCGCAATAGCTCTTCGCTTGGACCTTTATCATATGGTTTCTCAAAATCAATAAATATCATATGTAGATCCTCCTTATTCCCTCTATACTTCTTCATCTCAATAAATGTATAGCTTCCATAGTAGACCAACCTGGCATGAATCCAATTTGATTTTGAGAAACAGTAGTATCATGTTATAACCTAAGCTCAACAACTAGGGATGCAAACAAACCGAGCCGGGCCAAGCTTCACCCTATTCGAGTTCAAGCTCGTTTGTCAAAACCGTGCTCAAGCTTGGCTCGAAGCTTGTCGAGCTTCTCGGGCAACTATTCGAGCTCGAGCTCGTTTAAAATTCCCATGCTCGAGCTCGGCTCGTGTTCAGATTGAGCTTGTTTAATTTCAAGCTTAGAGCTCGGCTCGTGTTCAGATTGAACTCGTTTAATTTCAAGCTTATCAAGCGGCTAGTTAAACGAGCCGAGCCGATCACAATTCACAAAGTAAATTCTTTTATTAAACCCATCCAACCCGCCAGCCTAGAAAACCCGCCTGCTAGCTGCCCGTTGTTCAGCAAATGGCCTTTAGATGCATTTGTTTTTATATAGGTAAATCACTCCTCTCCAGGCGAAACCGTATAATGTATGTTTTTTTTCTCTTTTTTTGAATGTTAAATAAAAAATATTTACTGTGAGACTTGTAAAACTGCCAAAAATCATCATGTTATTTTTCCTGAAAGTGCTTTTGCATCTTATACTTATTTTCTAATTGTCCACACTGAAATTGGGGACCTTTCAAAATCGCTAATATTTCTGGAGCTATAGGATTTGTTACCTTCATTGATGATTACACTTAATTGATATGGGTATATTATCAAATAAAAATATGATATCAGCATTATTCTCCCATTTTACTATCGTGATATAAAAACAATTCAATACAATCAAGTTATTTCGGTCTGATAATGCAATTACTTTAATCCCACATAATTGTCTTTCTTCCAAAATAAAATGTATCATCCACGAATGCACCTGACCTGAGACTCTTCAACAACATAGAGTGGAGGAAAGAAAATATCAACATTTCTAGAAGTCATTAGAACTCCTCTTCCTAACTGCCACCTATCAAATTAATCAAATTCCCTCAAGAGTGAATGGCTTCAAAAGTCCTATAAATTATCTGACTGGATTTTTCCCCACAAATAACTTCTAAAATTCTCTCTAAAAAAAAATAATTAGGTGCATTGTCTATGTCTACATCCATAAATAATACAGAGGTAAATTTGATTCTAGTGCTCTCAAATATCTCCTTATTGGGTATTCCTCCACTCAAAAAGAGTATAAGAGCAATTATCCTATTCACCAAAAAAATTCTTTACTTCAAAAGATGTCTCTTTTGAGAAGAAACAAAAAATTTTCAATCAAACTCATCTTCAATAGGGGAACTCTCAGTTGAAAGATAAGCTTAACGAAACATCTTTTATCTTGACAGCTCATTACTTTATATTTTAAAATTAGCATGTATATTATTCCAAATGCCTTATATTATTATAATTTAGAATCGTGATATACTCACTGAGTTGTGACTCACTTTATATTTGCAAAATATTTCTTAGATATTTTCAAATAATTAAAATGAGTGGAATAAGAGAGAACGTGTATCGTAAGCACAATGCTCCAAGAGAAAGATCAATGTAAAAAATATCTATTTATAATTATTTTTTTATTCATTTGAGGTTTTAGTGGCTCTTCACATAAAATGGTGGCCTCCCGATGACCTGGTTAGGAAAGTAGAGATATTATATTTGAATTATGCCAATAAAGGTAGAGGTAGACCTAAAAAAACTTGGTTGAAAAATATTAGAAATGACCTTTTTTACTAGCTTTATATGAAAATTTAACTCTTAATAGGACACAATGGAGAAAAATGATTCATGTAGATGACCCCACGTAGTGGGATAAATGCTTGATATTGTTGTTGTTGTTGTTGTTGTTGAGGTTTTTGTGGCTCTTTTAGATGTTTAGTGTATTGGAACTAGTTAGTGAATAAAAGAACTTTCAAACAATCATCTAACTGTTTGTTCCCGTCTCGCTAATTTGAGCCTCTGAATCAGGTTGTGATATAAACTCTATTTGAGATACTTAAAAACAAGAATTGAAAGAATAACATGAGAGGAGATGAATGTTTTGGAAAAAAAAACACAATTGGGAGATCGATAAACTCCCAAAAGAGAAAAAATTGTAGGATGCAAAATAATTTTTTTTATAAAATATAGAACAGATGGAAGCCTGAAAATGGTATAAAGCAAGACGAGTAACCAAAGGATACACTCAATCGTATGGAATTGACTACAAAGAGACTTTTACTTTTGCTATAAAAATGAATATGATATGCATCTTAATTTTTATTGCAGGAAATCATGGATAGTCCATGCAATAGTATGATTTTAAGAATGTTTTCTTACATAAGGATATTAAAGAAAAACTCTGTATGAATCTACCACCTATGTTTAATAGTTCTTTTGCAAAAAATAAAGTGTGCAAATTAAAAAGACTATATGGCCTTAAGCAATCTCCAAAATGGTTTGGCGAATTCACAAAAGCTAGGAATAAGGTTGAATACAAGCAATGTCACGGAGATCATAAAATACTCCACTAATAATAAAATCTCAACTCTTGTTGTATATGTTGATATAATTATCATAGGTGATGATAGAAGAGAAAAGAAGTCTCTTAGGAAAAAGTTTGCTGAAAATTTTGAGATCAAAAGTTGGTTAAGAGCCTAAGCAGACTGGTATGCATTAAAAATGAATACTGGTAAAGTGCCAATGAGTGAAAAAAAAAACTGTCAGGATGTATTGCTTATGGATGTCCTGCAAGAGTTACGAGGAACTAGAAAATAGTATAATACATATTCTCTTTATATAAATGCAATGAGCTGTAAATAATTCCATCTATCACATAATTCAATCTGGTCCAAGAAAACAGAGTAATGCAGAAAATAAGTTTGCTTCTATGCATGACAAAAATGCATCCAAGATTTACTGAGGCAGCATAAATTGCACTTGATAAATAGATCATGCTTATATAAATAATAGTTCTATTTGGATGCGTCCATGTCAATGGATTTACTTCAGGCCTCCACCCCCAACATCAACTCACGCTTCATATAACATGCATATCATTTCCACCCAAGAAGCTCTACTTTCCCAAACTCTCACCTCACTCAAATCATGCTTTAAGCGGCAGAGAAAATTGTTTGGGACCAATTAAAGCTATAGCTTGGCACATGTGACCATTTAATTTATTCCCGGAACTCATGCAGTAAAGATTTGAAAGGTTCAAAGATTAGCTAGAACAGCTTACACCCCTATTAGGTAACCTTTCTAAGAAATGAAGAATTCTCAATTAGTTCAAATGTGGATAGACGAAACTAGTAGCACACAATAGTGATATTATATGGAACATTGGACTAGCAGCTCTATATTGACATATGTTGGATTATTGACTAATCTCAATCATCAAAAGCACTAAAAATAAGAGGCACGAGAGAATTACCTTGGGTATCCGCAATGGATTTTTGAAGGTGTACTCACAGAGCTTTATCATCATCCTTTCATTTAGTTTTCCATCCTAAATATTCATAAATGAAATACAATAAGCAAAGCTTGCTACTGAAGATCCACCAAGTATCATACATTAGCACAATATGGCTAAGAACTCCGAGAATGTGCTATTTTCAGGAGAAAGTAGTGCAGTGGTGGTTAGAGGGCGAGATGATTGTACCATTTTAAAACAGTAAAAGTTAAATTAAATCATGTTTAACCCATGGGAAATTTGTTCAGGTTATCCATCATATCCATGTTTAAATATGTATCACACGTGACAGGCATAGATTTCAAACCACAATTCTAAAATCAAAGGAAAGGTCAGTTTTACATTCAACCTGGAAAGTCTGAAATAAGATGGTGGGTGCCTTAATTAAGTGTAGCACAAACTTATCAGACTATACCAGACACTTCTCATGTTTAAACTGGCGCTACAAAACTTTCTCAACCCCGTAGAACTGTATGTTACAAAGCCAATTAGTCATGTAATTATGGAAATACATTATAAAACTAAATCAAGAAAAATCACTGACTAATAGCAATAAGGCATGATGATAAAACATCCATTAAAGATTGAAATTCTAAACTAAGTCGTGAGCAATATCATACCTACAAGAAAGAAGAAGAATGCAAAATATAAATAGCACATCAAAGACAGTACAAATCAAAAGCCTGGCAGCATAAAAAAAACGAAGTCTGCATTGAGAAACACTGAGCAGTGCCGATAAGTTGGAGTTAACAAAAGAATTTTGGATGTTTCAGGTAATCAAGCTTCGCAATTCTTTGAATGTCCAATCAGCTCTATAACAATGAAGTGGATAGGAGTGCATAAAGCGAAAACTATGCAATATTTAAATATAACCATTGAAAAAAGTCACATCAGATTCAAACTAAAATGTTGATCCGCACAAAGAAAGTTAGCTATTTTATTTTTCTTTATGAAAACGTAAAGGGTCCATCGTATTTGCATCAGTATGGTTTCAGATATATGATTTCAATTATCCAAGAATCAAAAGGGCACAAACTCCAATTCATGCACAATATGCATTTTGTAAACAATACATGGTGGAACTCCTCCCTTAATGTCAACCAACTTAACGCCCAGATGAAATCAGGACAAGTGCTCAAGAGGTTAGAAGTTTTGTTGCTGTCAGATCCTCCTCTCCATTACCACTCAACCTGAATACATGCCATCTCCCTAATACTCCTACACGTAACCTTTCCATCCGTTCCTATCCATTTGCAACACCATAACTAACACTACTTTTCCCAAGTCATTCTACAAATACCACTTGATTCTCTTTCAATGGTGAAACTTGGTCGACAATCTCCTTGCTCTTCCTTCCCCATCGCACCCCAGCCCCTCCGTGTCTTTATTTATATCTATTGCCCTCATCCAAGTTTTAAATAAAGTATACAAAACCCTCGTCTCATCCCAAACTGCTGCCAACTCTTGTGCATCTAATTGCATTTCCGAGCACTTCGAGGCATAGCACTTCACTTCTATACGTTTGTTATTGTTCAATTACATCAGTGTGTTCATAAAAAATGTTTACACCCTTGCTAACAGGTATATGTACATTATATGAAAACATGCAAATTCTATATTGCAGCATTATGATATATCCATATTCTTTCCTTTCTAAACTGATTTGAAAGCCTTATCATGCCATGTTGTAATTTCAAGTCTTCTTAGAGTAATTTTTGGATGCTCTTAATTTTGTACCCATTTCAAATTTTGATGATTCAAGTGTTATTGAGTTCCTTATAATATGTGATAATTTGGAAATGATTACATAGGATAGTTGTTACCTTGAAACAGACTTTGGATAAATATTTTTTAGATCCATTAATTATGTTTTTATACATTTATGATCTTGTTGCATATACAAAAAAATTTCTATCTATTCAACTTAGAATATGATCATATATCATTGCATATAAATGCTTATTATATGCACCATAATGATGATATTGATTTATACTCTTATGAGGTCAAAGATTAGAATGTTCACAGTCAAACACAGTGGAAATGTTGGATGTCATGTTTGATCTCTGGTAGGAGTACAGAGGCAATTATAAGATGTGCTTTCAATTTGTGGATGAAAGCACCACTCCATCAAAGTTGGGAATGCTCAAGGGATCAACACAATCGGAGAGTTGAAAGCACATGAGCTCACAGTGACAATAAGCTTCCTATTGCACTTTCCGTGTTAGCATGTAGAGTTCTTGCATATTGTGTCCTTTTAAAGTATTAAATAAATGAACTTATGAGATCTTAGTTGTTTGAGACCAAAGAAGATAGGTGATTCCCTTAAGGGATAAACAAGCTATAAGATACGGCGTCAATCCCCAAAAAAAAATTTGTGGGGACGTGCCAACATGGCACGTGGAAGCAATGCTTGAAGGGAGGTAAGTATGATAATGTTTTGAGAAAATGATCAAAATAGTCCCTCAACTCTTTTTGAAAGACTAAAATAATCCAACTCTTTTGAGGGATCAATTTGATCCCTCAACTCTTTAAAATGAGACATTTTTTTATCTTAACATCCAATGTTAGAGTTAATGGTATTAAATGTAAGGATATTTTGATTATTTTTTAATTATATATTTATAAATGTAATTTTCAAGTAATTATATTTTTTTTCTAAAAAATTTGTTAAAAATTACTTTAATGAAAATAATTAATAATAATTTTAGTTTTAATTTTAAACGTTTAATAATTTTTTTAGAAAAATTCTAATTACTTGAAAATTATATTTAATAAATGTTTAATTAAAAATGTCCAAAATACCCTTATATTTAACACAATTAAGTGCAATAATAGATGTTATGATCAAAAATATCATATTTTAAAGAGTTGAGAGACCAAATTGGTCCCTCAAATGAATTGGGGACCTTTTAGTCCCTCACAACGAGTTGAGGGATCCTTTTGATCATTTTCTCATAATATTTTTCTCAACAATGATTTGTATCATATAATGATTATAAGAAATCAAGAAGTCTGACAAATAAAATAATGAGCAAAGCAAAAAAAATTATAGCTTTTGAAAATTCATACAATAATTAGTTACAATGGAAAAGAAAAAACAAATAAATAAAAAAGCCTAGTCATAAGATAAGAGATCTAAAAAAACGGATCATATTAGATGAATTCAAGTGAATATAATAAGTTCTAGGATAAAGATGAATATACAAAGGAAAGAATGAAATATTATTTTAAGGAATTATTTTAAAAGAAAACTACTACAAAATAGCATAATGAACAAAATTTGTAAGAATCTTGTAGGTGGCTAAAAAACATTAAAGCGGAGAGATAGGTGATTTTTTGCATCTTGCTTGAAGTTTAATAAACTTTGAGGAATGACAAAATACCTTCTTCCTATTATTGATTCTTCTAACAAACAAGATTTGAAAATTTTTAGCGACTTGAGCTTCAATGCTTAAAAGACTACCATTTGCTCAAATCCCAAATCCTCAACAACAAGATGATCATGAGGATAAACTATCCTAACTATCGAATTTGAGTCAATGCTCTTGCTTGAAGAAGAGGTGCCCACCATTGTCTTGAAACTTCAAGCTCAAGCAACAACAACAAGGGAAAGCATAGATTCCATTTCAAGATCTAAAAATGGTACAAGTTTTTTAGTACACTCCAGATCTACAGTTGGAGGAATAGCAAGTGATAAAAGATGATTTTTCACTTCAAAGCAAGCCTTAAGCAATATGTATATTTGTGATAAAAATTTTGCAAGATGAACACTAGGAAAGCATTCATTCAAATTCAACCTCCTGTCAATAATCATTTGAAGAGAAACTAATTTAACTCCCCCCTTTAAAAGGAATAGTTACGTCCATTTCAACCACAAAAATAACCATGGATGGCCTAAGGAGCCTTGCAATAGTAACATCCACTTGTAAGGGTTTATCAAAAATAGAACTAAGAGAATATAAAGTAGATTGTTAATTTTTATGTAATGAACATAAAGTCCTGAAAAATAATTCAAATAAGAGTTATAGATGGACCTTGGTAGAGTTAAATAGTGAATACCACTTAAGCAAACACATCGAACAGTCATTCATACAGAAGAATCTATATCAAAAGTCTTGAGTAATCTACCTCTAAAAATAATTTTATAAAAATATGGTGCAGGACAAATAACCCGATAGAGAAATTCTCAATCAAACTTTAGTCGGATATGAATTTGTTAACAAAGTTAAAACGAGGACAACCAAGGAAAAGTTGAAAACTTCCCTATAATGAATGTAAATATAGCCACTAACCCAAAAATATCATCTTCGAACAAAATGTTTAACATCCAAAATTTCAAGTATTTAAACTATTTGTAATACTAGTTTTGATTTTTCATTTTTTAAGTTTAAATTTTAATTACTAGTAAATTAAGTAATTAATTGCTATCAACTTAAGTACTGATAATAGTAAAAATACTTTAACAGTAATTAAATTATCTTATAATTACAATTGAATTAAAGTTTCTTAGCAATCAATTAATATAGCAATAGTATGTTAAATTATATTAATCCTAAACAGCCACTAATGAAAACATATGTGGCCGATGGTTGAAAATTCATACAATAATTAGTTACAATGGAAAAGAAAAAACAAATAAATAAAAAAGCCTAGTCATAAGATAAGAGATCTAAAAAACAGATCATATTAGATGAATTCAAGTGAAGATAATAAGTTCTAGGATAAAGATGAATATACAAAGGAAAGAATGAAATATTCTTTTAAGGAATTATTTTAAAAGAAAACTACTACAAAATAGCATAATGAACAAAATTTATAAGAATCTTGTAGGTGGCTAAAAAACATTAAAGCGAAGAGATAGGTGAATTTTTGCATCTTGCTTGAAGTTTAATAAACTTTGAGGAATGGCAAAATACCTTCTTCCTATTATTGATTCTTCTAACAACAAGATTTGAAAATTTGTAGCAACTTGAGCTTCAATGCTTAAAAGACTACCATTTGCTCAAATCCCAAATCCTCAACAACAAGATGATCATGAGGATAAACTATCCTAACTATTGAATCTGAGTCAATGCTCTTGCTTGAAGAAGAGGTGCTCACCATTGTCTTGAAACTTCAAGCTCAAGCAACAACAACAAGGGAAAGCATAGATTCCATTTCAAGATCTAAAAATGGTACAAGATTTTTAGTACACTCCAGATCTACAGTTTGAGGAATAGCAAGTAACAAAAGATAATTTTTCACTTCAAAGCAAGCCTTAAGCAATATGTATATTTGTGATAAAAATTTTGCAAGATGAACACTAGGATAGCATACACTCAAATTCAACCTCCTGTCAATAATCATTTAAGATAAACTAAATTAACTCCCCTTTTAAAAGGAATAGTTACGTCCATTTCAACCACGAAACTAACCATGGATGGCCTCAGGAGCCTTGCAATAGTAACATCCACTTGTAAAGGTTTATTAAAAATAGAACTAAGAGAATATAAAGTAGATTGTTATGTAATGAACATAAAGTCCTGAAAAATAATTCAAATAAAAGTTATAGATGGACCTTGGTAGAGTTAAATAGTGAATACCACTTAAGTAAACACATCGAACAGCCATTCATACAGAAGGATCTATATCAAAAGTCTTGAGTAATCTACCTCTAAAAATAATTTCATAAAAATATGGTGCAGGTCAAATAACCCGATAGAGAAATTCCCAATCAAACTTTAGTCGGATATGAATTTGTTAACAATGTTAAAATGAGGACAACCAAGAAAAAGTGTAAAACTTCCCTATAATGAATGTAAATATAGCCACTAACCCAAAAATATATCTTCAGACAAAATGTGTAATATCCAAAATTTCAAGTATTTAAACTATTCGTAATACTAGTTTTGAATTTTCATTTTTAAAGTTTAAATTTTAATCACTAGTTAATTAATTAATTTAATTGCTATCAATTTAAGAACTGATAATAGTAAAATTACTTTTAATTGCAATCAAAAGGTATAAGGGCATGACCTAATAAAAGAACTAAATTGCTTATGTGGTTGTTTGTTTACATCTATTATGAGATTTTATCCTATTTGCATATATCAGTTGTTTGGTTTGGCAACATCTTCAAAAAATAATTTCACAAATGACTTACAAGTATTGTCTTTATGATATCAAAGTATCAATTAAATATGTAAACATCTAGATGCTAAGCTATATTATGGCTATGATAAAAGACAACAAAAAAATCATAAGGATCATTGATCAGTCTATATAATAATTAGGTTGTTTAAACAAGCTAACATTGAACCTAATTTATTGCATTTGATGGATACAATCGTTATCCGGATAACTTTAATATCTATATAGCGTTGATATCTAGATAACATTGAAACAAACTCCTACGTACCATTTAAGAACACGACTTCTTCAAGAAGATATCCGCAATCAATTTAGCTCATAAACAGTGCAAATAGTTCCAATTTAATACAACGAACAAGGTAAATCAAAGTACTACTCCACACAGAAAATAATCAGTAATTGGGATATTAACCTGGGAGCGAGGAAAGATATCTGCAATAAGCTTTTTGTATCGCTTGACAGGTTGCCGGGATCTCGCCCTCAACGATGGACAGAAGCAACAGATACTGCCGCAGACGGGCAGCACCCGCCTCGACATAACCCCCATTTCTCCTCTCTCTTCCCAAATGCTAGTATTCTTTTCCGAACTTCCTAAACCTTCAGATTCGGGAACAAATTTGTTCAAAACTTCAGCAAAACCCGATTTCGATGAACACAATGATTACATTACGCCCGTTTCTTTTTTGGGCGTTGGGATCAACCTGCAAGCAAACATTAGAAAATTTCAGCCTGTGATCATGGAGGGATGCCCACAAACACAATCCGATCAACGTTTTCTCAGAAAATAGAAACCGAAGACAGGGTTTGCAGAAGAACTCGCCTCGGTTGACTGCCTCTCCTCTGGATCGGGGTAGAGATCCCCGCGAGCCCACGCCGCGAATTTGTCGAACGAACTTCCTCCTTTGAATAAATATATTTTACACGCTAATAGTAATACCCATAAAATATAAATATGGAAATTTATAGACAATATATTTTACACGCTAATACCCATAAAATATAAATATGGAAAGTTATAGACATTACATTCCCTTAAAGTTTCCTAATTTACATATTTAACACTTAAAATTAAAATAATTATTTACTTAATATAATCCAACATTAATATTTTCCTCAATTCAGTGATACCGAAGCCTTAAAAAATAAAGATAGAGAAAAGATTGTATTGGGACCATATTGGGAGAACTAACCGCCTAGAAAATCAGGATGTGATAACACCGGGGAGAATATCAATGAGACAAATAATATGTGAAAGATGACTAAAATTATGTTTGGATAGTTTTTTTACTTCTTTCTAAAATAGTTTTTTAGTACAAAAAATTTTAGCTTAAAAAAATTTTATACTAGAAATCTGCTTTAGAAAGCAGGAAAAAAGTTGTCTCAAATGAAACCTAAGATATAAGAAAATTTTAACATCTCGTTGGTAAAGGCATCAACAAAATTGAATGACGTACGAAGCGTGAAGAATACGGGAGTAATTTAGACAATATATCTTTTGCAAAGGACGTTAAGCAAATCAAAGATGTATGAAACACGAAGATAGGGATGTCAATTTCGGGTCACGGGTCGGGTTCGGGTCGAACCCGGAAATGACCCGGCTCAATTCGGGTCAACCCGAACCCGACCCATTTTCACAAACAGGTCGATTTTTCAAACCCGAACCCGACCCGACCCGGGGACATGGCAACTCCGTGCACAGATTCGCGGTAGCGGCATCCGGCGGCTTCGACGATCTCTGCTGGCGTCCGGCAGTAGCAAAATGCGACATGCAGCTCGGTCACGCGGCATCGACGATCCGTCATCTGGCGTTCGGCAACGTCACGCGAGTCGTGACAAAGGGGCCAGCTGCTGGCCAGCCTTGCCAGTCACGCGAGCGGGAGAAGCGACGCGACGCGGGATGTGATGCATCACGCGAGCGGGCAGCGGGTCAGTTGGGCAGCGCAATGGGGGCAGCTCTGCTCGGTCACGCGAGCGCGAGGGCAGCTCGGTCACGCGGCTGGCAGCTCGGTCAGCTGGTCAATCCGGGTTATTTTCGGGTTTCCGGGTCAACCCGAACCCGACCCGGTTTTTGAAACGGGTCGAAAACTCTAACCTGAACCCGAAATTGTCGTGTCGGGTTCGAGTCGGGTTACTCTATTACCTTGAACTCAACGCCAGTTCGGAGTTCAGGATTGAACAGGATGAACAAAACCGGGAAAATGCCGACAACGTGTCAGGCGTTCGAGTCGGATTTTCGGTCGTTGTCAAATATTGACACCTCCTACCACGATAGATGAGTGATATGTGTAAATCAACCTAAAAGAATAAAAAGTATATGTCTTAAATATTACGGTTTTAGAGTGCTAAACATATAGATGTGATAGGTTTTGGTGTTTTGTATGTAAATCTGCCTTAAGATTATTATTTGTGGATTTACATGTATTTCTTTATATATTTAATATAGAAATTTTATAATATTTATATGAATATTTTAATTTTAAATAATATTAAGAATATCAATAATAATTTATCTAAAAAATATTTTTAAAATAATATTAAGAATGTCATTAATTAATTTTTATATAAAAATATATATTTTTAATGTAATATATTTAATGTAATTAAACACTAATATTGTTACACCAACTAAATATTAATATTTATATATTGGATAACATAAATATATAAAAATTTTTAAAGTAGTAAATGAATTTCCCTATTTTTTCATAATTTTAAAAATAAATTTTTATTTTAATACATATCTATAATAAATATATCATATATAAAGTTAAGAAAATGGGATAAATATTTTAATCACCAATTAGTTCAATAAGAAGACTTGTGAAACTACACATGATAGTTCTATTATAATTAAAATATATGAAATTACATTTTTATTTGAGATAAATTAAAATAATATTACTATTATTACTTAAAATATATGATTAAAAAATAAAATATGAGAAAGTTCTAAAATAAAATTTATTGGCAGATAAATGCTTTTAAAATAATTAAAATATTGGGATTTTTTAAAATAGTATCTTGATAAAAGATGTATTAGAGTCAAATATCTAAGTTTGGCAAATTTTGATTTTTAAGACCAACAACGAATGATGATTCACTATTTATTTTCGTAATAAAATTATTTATTTCGTCCGAAGTTAAATATATAGCAATATTTGTCCATGTGTCTAAGTTAGATAAGAGAATTATGTGCATGTTCAGCTCCTTTTTTAAACCATACCAGGGGGGGGGGGGAGAAGGCAAAATAAAAAAATATGTAAATGGTCATTTAAAAAATATTTTTTAAATTTACTTTTCAGGCCTTGATTGCTGTCTCTTGTTCTCTAACTCCTTTTTCCTGTCGGTTGATTTGTAATAACTATTGACATAGTCAACCAGCATTTGCGCATTTTATACTATAAGGAAAGCAATTCTAATGTCTCCATAGAACTCTACAATACTAAATTCTTTGGCGTATTTGATGGTAAACAATTGTAGTTTTATGGTGCTCTATTAAACTATTTTGTTGAAATTATTTTAGAAACCACTCTTTGTATATTATAAAGCAAAAAGTTGTCCCAAATCGAGTCTAATATATCTAATGTCTAGTGACATGCAAATATTTCATGTCAATACTCCTATTATGTTTTCAATTCTAAAAATTAATTTCTTATTACCAGACTACTAAAAATGTAATATAAGTATATAAAAATATTATTTTAATTATTTTAAAAATTTAAAAAACATAGTACTACCAAAGATTTTTCTCATAAAATTTTTTTTATAATTGATTTTTTAGCGAGCAGCTAATGCCAATAGAAGCTTCTATCAGATAATAAAATGACACTAATTGATAGGATGACTAATACATGTAAAATTGGATTTATTGTAATAATTTGGGTGCAAGTTTTTCAATTGGATTTATTGTTATATATTATTTTGTTATCACTGAATCTAATAATAAGAGAAATATTTTCTAACCAAATTACTTAATATTTCGGAAGACCCACCTAATCTTTATATAGAATGTTTCAAATTTGAATTCAAAGGAGTTTTAAAAGAGAAATGTTGTCTAATTTTGTATAGACTTTATTATACATATATTAATTAATAATAGATACTTTCTCAGTGTAATCTATCTCATATATTATCAGGATAATCCGTAGCAAATAGTGGAGTTAGATCTATTTTCCTAAGCTTTCCTACTGCAACATCAAAAACCTTTATCCCATTTAGCTAGGCATGATAAATGATGTCTGACAGTTCCCACGCATTTAAACATTCAAACACGCATTTGTGCTTTATGGAGTATAGGATGAACAAATCCCTTACTTCAAAAATCGGGGTGGTCTTAACTTAGGCTCTTTGGGGACATTTTCTTATTGCTTTCTTAAAGAACAGTTTTTTAATAAAAATTCTTTTATTTATAAAGAAAGCCGAATGTAAGAAGGCAGTAAAAATAACATGTTCCACATGAAGCCATTAGACTCATTGGATCATGGTCTAATAGTATTCCTAAGTAGTTTATTTAACTCCTTAACACTTTCAAGATAAAAGATAGGCTGCAATTCTCTCTACTGTGTGCCCATTTGGGGGTACATAATGACTAATACTAAATGCGACAATGGAAGAACATGCATCAAGATTAAGAAACAAAAAATTGACAGGGGCGCATTGTAGTGTAGCTCTAATCAGCTATCAGTTCATTAGAGTGCTAGCGCTTGAAATGTTGCACTTGTTCGCAAATGGGTTAGAGTCAATTCATTCCAACTGATGTCCACGCCTAAATTTAAGGAGAATGTCAGCAATAGCTTAGCTTGAGCTAGTGCCTCAATTTGAGCCTTGGTGGTTTTATGAACACTCTCTCATTTGTGACCCACTCTACAAATGGATGTGATTGAGGCTTCGTTTGGGACGTCTTTTTTACTGCTTCTTAAAATGGAGTTCTAGTACAAAAATTGTTTAGGGCTTGAAATGGTACACTTGTTCCAAATGGGTTTAGAGCTCCAATTCATTCCAACATGTCCACCTAAACTTAAGGAGAATGTCACAAGCTTTAGCTTGAGTTGTGCCTCAATTGAGCCTTTGGTGGTTTCTATGGACACTCTCTCATTGTGAACCCATTCTACAAAGGAAAGCATCTATTCCAATTAGCTTAAGGAAATTGACTTGTCAGATGGATGGGATTGAGGCTTCGTTTGGGATGGCTTTTTTACTGCTTCTTAAAACGGAGTTCTAGTACAAAAATTTAAATTTTTATACTAGAACTCCGTTTTAAGAAGCAATAAAAAATCCTTCATAAACGAAGCCTGAAGCTACTTGGGTATAATAGATAGTGAGGGAATGGTGTGCTTAAGAAAATTATTCTTAACCAACTTGGATTAAGTGAGTCAATTAGGGTTGGTTTGGTTTAGGTTGTGTTAATAAGCTTCCTATGGATAAGATAAAGTCTGGTAAACCTAATGTAACCATTGGTAGTAGGTCCAATTAAGCTTCAAATTGGCTTTAGGCTCACCTATGTAGAAATGTATTTCCGGTGAACTTTACCGGAGCTGAAGAAGATGAAGATGAAGAAGACAAGAAAGATGGGAAGTGAATAACAGAGCAATCGTACTTTCTTATTATGATAAATCCAAGATACAAATGCCTATAAATAGGCAGTAGGTGAAGCCTTTACACGTGGTTCAATCTCATTGGTTTAACATGAAAATAAGCTAAC